TGCATCCCCCACCCCACCTCACCACCTCCATACGTCAATGATAGTGGATGAGATCCTCAAGAACGTGGAGTTTGACACCACTCACTGGCACCACCTAGCACAATCACTCACTTATCCACCCATCCATCCACCCAACCCCCTCCCCCCCTCTCCCCCACCCCACCCCCAGACGTCCATGATAGTGGACGAGATTCTCAAGAACGTCGAGTTTGACACGGCTCGCATTATCTACAACCGCTTCAACTCCGTCGTCGCTTTCGTGCCCACCGTCTCCACCGTGCTCTCGCCCGAGGTGAGGTATTGAGGGTTGCAGTGCGGTGTGGGGAGGTGCGGTATGGTATAGTGGGGTGCTGTGAGGTGTAGTTCGGTGTTGTGTGGGGAGGTGTGGCGCTCAGCGCATCATCCACAACCGCTTCAACTCCGTCGTCGTCTTTGTGCCCGCTGTCTCCACTCCACCGTGCTCTCGCCAAAGGTGAGGTATGATGGGGTATGGTGGGGAGGTGTTGTGGGGTATGGGGCAGTGTGGTGCTGTGTAGAGGGATGGTACTTAGGGATGAGCAAGGTGGCGAACACCTGTTCGGTTCGCCTCGAACCGAACAGGTATTTTTTTTTGGCTTAAAATGTTCGCCGAACAGTGTTCGATGTTCGCCCGAACACGTTCGTGTTCGGGCCGCCGCTGCAATTTGCCCGTGACGAACACGAACACTGTTCGAGGTTCGCCCGAACTGTTCGAGGTGCACCACGTTTGTGCCAATTGTTTCCACCGTGCTCTCACCTGAGGTGTGGTGGGGTGGGGTGTGGTGAGGTGTGGTGAGGTGTGGCTGTGTGGTGCGCTCACCCACCGTATCATCTACAATCGCTTCAACTCCGTCATGTATTTTTTTCCCGCCGTCTCCGTCATGAATTGCTAAAAGGCTTTTGAGGCGCCTTTTGAGGCGCCTTTTGAGGCGACTTTTGAGGCGCCTCAAAAGTTGTTAAAAGGATTTCTATCTTGCTGCTCTTCCCCGATGAGTGAGGACCCGTGGGACCTCACATTCGTGCTTCAACTCCGTCATGTATTTTGTTCCCGCCGTCTCCATCGTGCTATTGCCCAAGGTGAGTTGTCGTGGGATTTATTGTGGTGTGGAGAGGTGTGTGGTGTGGTGTGGTGTGGTGTGGTGTGGTGTGGTGTGGTGTTGTGTGGTATGGTATGGGATGTACGAAGGTGCAGTGGGGTGTGGGGAGGTGTGGTGCGGCCATGTCATTATCCGCAATCGCTTCCACTCAGTGTGGCTTTTGGACCCACCATCACCGCCGCCGTGCTCTCTCCGTGCGCGCGTGCTTTCCGCGTCCGTTATTCTTTCCCCCCCTGCCTGCCCTAGACCCGTACGTGCTTTCCTCCATGCTTCCATCCCCCCCACCAGACTCTGCTAAAGGAGGCAGCGGAGGACGGCAGTGCGAGCCGTCTCGCAGAGTATGAGATCGAGGGCGAGGAGGGGCAGGAGGAGGAGGAGGCGAGTGCTTTCCACCCTTCATCTTTCCGTCCAACATTCTCCCACCCATCCCTCCCACCAGACCCTTCTCAAGGAGGCAGCGGAGGGCGGCAGTGCGAGCCAGCTGGCAGAGTATGAGATCGAGGGCGAGGAGGGGCGGGTGGGGGCTCATCACACACTTGTGGGGGCTCATCACACACTTGTGGGGGCTCATCACACACTTGTGGGGGCTCATCACACACTTGTGGGGGCTCATCACACACTTGTGGGGGCTCATCACACACTTTCCTGTCAATCATTCATCACCCATTCTCCCCAACCCCCCTCTTTCCCCCAACCCACCCACCAGACCCTCCTCAGGGAGGCAGCGGAGGGGGGCAGTGCGGGCGAGGCGACAGAGTATGAGATCGAGGGAGAGGAGGGGCAGGAGGAGGAAAAAGCGAGTGCTTCCCCTTCATCGCTCCATCCCTCATTTCCTCCCACCCAATCCCCCGGGCCTCCATGTTTCCACCAGACTCTCCTCAAGGAGGCAGCGGAGGGCGGCAGCGCGAGCCAGCTGGCAGAGTACGAGATCGAGGGCGAGGAGGGCCAGGAGGAGCTCTTCCAGAACCTCTCCGAGTTCCAGCTCGCGTCGGTGAGTGGGGTGGGTGGGGAAGGGAGGTAGGGGGCTTATATGGTGTCCCTTAGGGCAACGAGTAGGCATGTATGAAGGTGGGTAACAGCGTGGAGGGCCAGGAGGAGCTCTTTCAGAACCTCTCCGAGTTTCAGCTCGCGTCGGTGAGTGGGGTGAGGGGGGGGGAGGGAGAGGGGTAAATATGGTGGTGACATCCCCGGCTAGGAGTAGGCGTACATGGAGTTGGCTCAAACATTGTGAAGGGCCAGGAGGAGCTCTTCCAGAACCTCTCCGAGTTCCAGCTCGCGTCCGTGAGTGGGGTGGGTGGAAGGAGAGATGAGTGTTTGCGGTGTGCCGGAAGGGAAAGGGCTTGTATGTGGCATGTAGGGGCTCCAACAGCATGGAGGGGCAGACTTTTGAGTCGACTCAAAAAGCCTGTAGGGGCTCCAACAGCATGGAGGGGCAGACTTTTGATTCGACTCAAAAAGCATGTAGGGGCTCCAACAGCAGGAGGGGCAGACTTTTGAGTCGACTCAAAAAAGCATGTAGGGGCTCCAACAGCATGGAGCGGCAGGAAGAGCTCTTTCAGAACCTCTCCGAGTTCCAGCTGTCGTCGGTGAGTGGATGATGGGTGGGTGGATGGGGCTTGTACGACGGTGGTATCTAGGGCCAGGAGTTGGCACATATGGGGTTGGCTGGTTTGAAGTTCCAACAGCATGGAGGGCCAGGAAGAGCTCTTTCAGAACCTCTCCGAGTTCCACCTCGCGTCGGTGAGTGTTTGATGGGTGGGTGGAAAGGCATGTATGATGCCTCATAGTATGTGGAGGAGGGTGGTGGGAGGAGATTGCACTGAAGGTCACATATCGTCAAGTGGTCTGGTGGGACTCCATGCATAGCGTGTTAGGTGCCGAAGGTGAGGTGGCTCCAACAGCATGGAGGGCCGGGAGGAGCCCTGCCCAGAACCCCTCAGACTTTCAGCTGGTGTTGGCTAGCGTGCTGGGCAGGCTGAACGTTAGGGATTTGCTGGCCTCCCATTTCAGTTGACCCTCCTCTGTGCCTCCCTCTGCTGTGCCTCCCTCTGCTGTGCCTCCCTCTGCTGTGCCTCCCTCTGCACCCCTCTCTGCCCCTCGCTCCCCCAGACGCTCTACAACGCGCAGCTGGAGAATGTGTGCAGTGAGCAGTGAGCGCGCACGTCTGCAATGGACAATTCCTCCCTTCCTCCTCACTCATTCCCTCTCTCCTTGTTCCCTTTCCACACTTGATCCCCCTCCCCACCAGACGCTCTACAATGCGCAGCTGGAGAACGCGTGCAGTGAGCAGGGAGCGCGCATGTCAGCAATGGACAACTCCTCCCGCAACGCCTCCGACATGCTTGGCCGCCTCACCCTCTCCTACAACAGGTGCGTTACATTCATGCTTAGGGTTAATGCATTCCATTCAGATATGTGCAAACAGGTAATTCCTGCGCTTCTAAGTGTCCCTTGTGCCTATGATTTATGTGATGTAGGTTTTGCCTAGTAAGTTTGTATCTTCACGTCCCCCCCCCCCACCACCTCTCGATGTGCAGGTCTTGCCAGGCCACCATCACCACGGAGCTTATCGAGATTGTTGCAGCTCTGGAGGGCTAGGGCCATTGTGTAATTGCATTTGCTTTAAATGCATGTGGATTTACTCTCCTCCTCCCCCCCACTCCCTTCCCGACTCTCCGCGTGCAGGTCTCGCCAGGCCACCATCACCACGGAGCTTATCGAGATTATTTCTGGTGCTGCGGCTCTTGAGGGCTAAGGCCAATGCTGTAAGTGCACATGCCTCGACTGCCGGTCGCTTAACCATCTGTTGAGACTTTAATACTGGCCTAACATTGACAATACCTGATTCCCCAGGTCGTTACCGATTTGTGGTATTATTGTGACTGTACGCTGGCGTAGGCATTGAATCAATCGTTAGTTTCTGTAAGTGGCATATGGTAGGCTTAAAGAACCTATGTTTTTTTCTACTTGTTGAATGAAAATTTCCGTGTCACAAAACTCTGGTCCAATGCTGAGTACAGTAGAAGCACTATATGGGAGTAGTTGGGTGCAATAGCAGTGGCCTTACATATCAGATCTGATCCATAGTTTTTCATATTTAACAAAGTCACGGTAAGCAACAATAACGGCTCTTCGTTGAACATATCGAACTTGCCTTGCCACAGCGAATTTCAACAACTATCTCCCGTACCTCACCTTTTGACTAAGCCTGCTTTATCTATCCCCGCCAAACCTAAGCGGTGATGTTCGTTCAAAACCAGACCAAACCGCTCCTTGCTTCAAGACAACCGTTTTGAAACGCAGACAAGTCGTTTGAACCGCACCAAGTAAACTCTGCGTCGCCATTGACCTGGTCTGCACTGCACTCCGGAGCATTCACTTTCGCCAGACTGATCACAGGCACCTTGCTCTACTACCTAACTACTTCCACCTAATTGGGAACCTGTCTTATTACTCGGGTGCTAAAGTATGGCGATCCCACATACTCAACTTCAGCTAGTGCACCCGCGGTAGTGACTCCCGGGGCCGCAATGCCGTGCTTCCCGCTTTCTGTCTTAACGTGTGGCAACAGCTAGCACTGACCCTCTCCCATCCTCCGACTTGGTATCGCTGGTTCTGGTTTAAAGATTCCCGGTTCTGGTTCATAGATGCAGGTTTCGTTTTCCCGCACCCGTCGCTCCGAGAGAAACGTGCTTCACGGAGTAATCAGCTCTGAGAATTGACAGAAGTATATCAGTTCTGTAAGGGCAGACGTTCGTTTGCCCTTTTACAGTGTGCTTCAAAGGTCAATTCGTTAGTATTTTCTTCTTCCTCCTCTTTTAATCCAGCACGTATATCCGTACCCCTGACGGCATTACTGACTAGAGCACGAGCATTTGCGGCACAATGCGGCCGCCATGGCTAGGATCCTCCCCCCCCGCCGGCGCCGGCAGTCCATTCAGCACCTCCAGCCCCAGCAACGTGATTCTAACCACCGGAAGACACGGCGGGTCTAACGGCGGATTTGGCGGCGGGCTGTTTAACTCCTTGTGGGCGTACGCGCGGCCCGGGCGATGGTGGCTCGCGATATTAATCATCTGCGCGTTTCAAGGGGTCTTACTATGGCACTGGTCGAATACCTCCGCTATAGTCTTCCCCGATCAGAAAAGCGCATCCGGCGCCGCGATTGGCGGGAAAGGAGGGTCGCTGAACAGGCAAAGACTAGGCGATGCTGCCGCGGCCGCCGCCGCCGCTTCTGCGTTCCGGCGGCACCTAATCATAGAATCGCAGGAGCAAACTCAGGACGTCTCCAATCTCCGGTCGCTATCCTATAACCCCACGACCGCGTCGCTCTCCGCAGCGGCCTTAGAGGAATTAGTTCGCAAAGTAGCGGAAAACGTGTCGCAGCGCATCGAGTCGCACGAGGCGGTGCTAGTTAATCTGGGGATTAAGTTGCTCAACAGAGAGCAGCAGCTGTCTAAGATCGATAAAGTAATCGCAGCGCTCGGCAAAATACCTCCGGAAACCATTAAAGCTGTCTTACAAGCACAGCTCGATATAAAGCAGCAGCAGACGGCGGAAAGGGAAGGGGGATCGGGAGCAGGAGGAGCAGGTGAAGGCGGAAGAAAAGGGGGAAGCGGACAAGCGGAAGCAGGAGGAGGCGCAGAGGGGGAGGCATGGGGGGAACTCCCAGAACCCATCCCCCCTCCGCCAAAGCCGTGCAAACGACAAAAAGACCTGGGGAGATCGGGGGGGAAGGTAGTCTGGCGGGTAGACGGGGGGGAGGCGGAGGGGGAGGAACGCCCGCGGAAATACCTTCTAGCTATGTGCTCCGGGGGGCAATTAAGCAACCGCATTTCGTGCCTAAGGCAGCATTTTCTAGACGCGGCGCTGCTGAATCGCACGCTGGTGTTCCCATCGCACGGGCCCGGAGTGGACTATGACTACGAGCGCCTGTTGGATATGGAGGCGCCCAGGCGGTGCTTTGGCAACCAGACGTTTCTTACTCTTGACGAATACGCTGCCATTCAGGAGGCCAAGGTGGGTACTGTAGGGTGTGCCAGGGTTGGGAGCGGTGAAAAGCCTGGCAGAGGTTTGCAGGATGCTGCGGTGCTGGTGAGTGAGTGGCACGCTGGTGTTCCCATCACACCGGGCCCGGAGTGGACTATGACTACGAGCGCCTGTTGGATATGGAGGCGCCCAGGCGGTGCTTTGGCAACCAGACGTTCCTGACGCTGGATGAATACGCTGCCATTCAGGAAGCAAAGGTGGGTACCTTTGGGAGAGTGTGCCAGGGTTGGGAGCGGTGGGAAGGTGTCCAGAGGATTTCTGGACAGCAGCTGAGGTGGTGGTGAGTAGCAGGGTGGTGTTCCCATCGCACGGGCCCGGAGTGGACTATGATTACGAGCGCCTGTTGGATATGGAGGCGCCCAGGCGGTGCTTTGGTAACCAGACGTTTCTCACTCTCGATGAATACGCTGCCATCCAAGAGGCCAAGGTGGGTACTGTGCTGCTGTGGGAGGGTGTGCAAAGGTTGGGAGCAGTGGGAAGGTGTGCAGAGGTTTTCCGGACAGCAGCAGTGTCCGTAGTGAGTAGCAGGGTGGTGTTCCCATCACACGGGCCCGGAGTGGACTATGACTACGAGCGCCTGTTGGATATGGAGGCGCCCAGGCGGTGCTTTGGTAACCAGACTTTTCTGACGCTTGATGAATACGCCGCCATTCAAGAGGCCAAGGTATGGGTACTTGTGGCCCAGGGTTGGGAGCGGTGGGAAGGTGTGTAGAAGTGTTCCCATTTTACTGCACGGGCTCGGAGTGGACTATGACTACGAGCGCCTGTTGGATATGGAGGCGCCCAGGCGGTGCTTTGGTAACCAGACTTTCCTGACGCTTGATGAATACGCCGCTATCCAAGAGGCCAAGGTTGGTAGATATGGGGGAGTGTGCGCCAAGGTAGAGCGGTGGGAAGGCGTGCCAGGTTTGGGAGCGGTTGGACGGTTTGCATAAGTTTTCTGAGGTCTCTCGGGGGAGATTGCAAGAGGAGGTGGGGGGCGGTGCTGGTGAGTGGCAGGGTGGTGTTCCTACCACACAGGGCCGGAGTGGACTATGTCTACGAGCGCCTGTTGGATATGGAGGCGCCCAGGCGCTGCTTTGGCAACCAGACGTTTCTCACTCTTGACGAATACGCCGCTATTCAAGAGGCCAAGGTGGGTATTTGTTGGTAGGGTTTGCCAGGGTTGGGAGCGGTGGGGAGGCTATCCAGGCTTGGGAGAGGCGGGACTTTGGGACGGTGTGCAGAGGTTGAGAGAGGTGGGGTGGTGTACCACGGTCAGGAGCGGCAGGATGGTGTGTGCGACGGTTGGTGATCTGTGAGTTGCTTATCAGAGCCCTGTTAGAGAAGCGCCTCAGATTGAAAACGGTACTCAGGGTTAATGTATGGACTATGGCTATGACTATGACTATGACTATGACTACACCAATCCTTGCCTAAGACTGTGACTAAGACTATGACTAAGAGAATTGGTTGGTGGATATGCAGAAAAACACACGGAACTTACCTTCACTCCTTGTGCTCTGTTGCATGGCAGAACCCCAAGAGGAGAAAGAGCGCACCTGTGATGGTGGTGGACGTGTTCATATGCCACGTGCACCACTATCAGACGGAGAGAGAGTGCGGTTACATCCGACAACGGTGAGTCAGAGATGCTCATGCACACACATGCATGCTGCGTGCACACGGGCATGCTAGAGGTGATGATGGTGGATGTGTTCATATGCCACGTGCACCACTACCAGACGGAAAGAGAGTGTGGCTACATCAGGCAACGGTGAGAGATGCGCATGCACGCACATGCCAGAGCGAATGGTGGTGGATGTGTTTATATGCCACGTGCACCATTATCAGACAGAGCAAGAGTGTGATTACATTAGAGAACGGTGAGGAACACATGTGTGTATATGCCCATGGACATGCACATGCACATGCACATATGTGCCATTGTGCAAGAGGGGATGGTGGGGAGTGTGTTCACACTACTACGTGCACCACTACCAGACAGAATGGGAGTGCAGTGAAGGTATATTCGACAACAGTAAGACACACATGCACATGCACATGCACATCCTCTGCAATGAGTCCGCCCGTCATCCCCGTTTGGAGCATGTTCGGCGTGGGTGGGCAGGACCTGCACTCCCACCAACCAACCCACCTATCTACTCACTCACTCGTACATATCATGTATTGTCTCAGCCCCTCCTTTCCCAATGCCCGCCCCTCTAACCCACCCGCCCCCTCCTCCCCTTCTCCAGCTAGCAACTGCATATCCACTTTGCTCGAACGGTCATCCCAGAAAAGCGCACGCAAAGCCCCTGGATCAAACCACGTGAAAGAAGGAGTGTTTTGAGACGTCTCAAAAGTCATCCCAGAAAAGCGCACGCCAAGCCCCTGGATCAAACCACGTGAAAGGAGTGTTTTGAGACGTCTCAAAAGTCATCCCAGAAAAGCGCACGCCAAGCCCCTGGATCAAACCACGTGAAAGGAGTGTTTTGAGACGTCTCAAAAGTCATCCCAGAAAAGCGCACGCCAAGCCCCTGGATCAAACCACGTGAAAGGAGTGTTTTGAGACGTCTCAAAAGTCATCCCAGAAAAGCGCACGCCAAGCCCCTGGATCAAACACCCCTCCAAAGAGTTCATCCCCCTCGTCTCCTATGATGAACCCGTCTTTCCCTCCGCTCCGCCCCATCCCGCCCCCGGCTCTCCCCTCCCCCTCCTCCCTCCCTGCAGCTACCAGCAGCTGCATATCCACTTTGCTAAAACAGTAATTCCGGAAAAACGCACCCCAAGCCCTCAAATACCCCTCCAAAGAATGCATCTCCCTCTTCACCTACCACAACTCGCTCCCGGTTTCCCCATTCCTACCCCCGATTCCCCTCACCCGTGCAGGTACCAGCAGCTGCACATCCACTTTGCTAAAACAGTCATTCCAGAGAAGCGCACGCCAAGCCCCTGGTTCAAGTACCCCTCCAAAGAGTTCATCTCCCTCTTTAACTACGATGATTCGGTCATCGCCTTCGGGAACATGTTCGGCGTGAGCGGGCAGGATTTACGTTTTCACCATGCCCGCCCGCTCGTGGTGCTGCCCGGATGCAAATACTACATCATGCCCTCACCCATGGTTCGCCAGGCCGCTGCTGGGTTTATCAACTCCTACATCGGCAGCAGCACCAGCAGCAGTGATAACAGCAATGCAGGTGGTGATGCTGCTGGTGGGGGTGTTCGGGCTGCTGGTGATGGTGGTGCTGGTGGAACCGGGGGTGGTGGGTTCATGGCATTGCACATGAGACGAGGCGATTTCTACCAGCATTGCGTCAACATGAAGGGGCATTCCAAGTTCGCCTGCTACCACCCGATCCGCCAGCTGGCGGCGTGTGTGGCGCGGCGATTGGACGAGAACCCGGGGGTGCGGGCGATTTACCTCTCGACCAATGGGGATGATGATGAGGTGAGAATGTTCCGGGAGTTTCTCGCGTTTGAACGGGCGAGACCGCGGAAATACGTCGTAAATGGGACGACGGAGGATGGACGTGTGGGGAGTGTGGTTCGGGTGCGAGGGGGGCGCTCGGGGCTGTTTTCTTCCGAGCCTGTTCCGGTGGTTCGGATGTCGATTAAGAGCCTGGAGACGCAACCTTGGGCCGAGCCTCTGGTGCAGGCTGGGGCGCATAACGACAGTGTGGTGATTTCGTATGTGGAGAAGGCTATATGTGTGATGTCGAATGTGTTTTTTGGTACGTACGGGTCGACCTTTACAGGGGATATTGTGCGGCTACGGGATTGGCTGTACTTGAATAGCTGTAACGATGGGATGATATGCCCAGAAACAGACCAGGCGGAGCTTATAACGCCCTTTGAGAGCTAGGATGTGTTGATTAGTGGAATTGCTAACAAACGGGTTGTATTTCTAACGTCATAAAAGCTCTAGCACATGTAGAATTTCGATTAAAAAGTGGTGTAGGAAAGGCTCGAGTATATACCGAGTGCTCACTCTTTTACAGAAGTCGGTTGTCCAATGATGAGAGCAGGTGCTTTATTCCGTGTAGATCACTCCATGTATTCTTCCCTCGTTTGAATCACATCCTTCCTTCTACTTGTCACCCTCGGGATTATGGACAAGCTCTCACCACCCAGATTCTGACGCCTTCGTTTTGGATCAAAATCCATGGTCTAGGCTTCCCGCCAGCAATTGCCAAGCCAGATCGGACGGTCAGACCCCGCATGACCGCGTTCCGCGCAAATTAATCGACGGTCTCGTGCAGTCGCGTGTGTCCCGCGCCTCCACGTGGCGCACACTGCGCGCTGAAATCGCTCGGGCCTGCATTTTAGGTCGCGATCTCGCGTAGCTATTACTAATCGGTTTTGCTCGGTGCCAGCTGTTCCCGGTGCTGCAGTCTCGGTGCTGATCGGTGCGATCACTATCGTGTTCGACGAATTCTCAGCCATGGTGACTCGCATACATCGAAGTCCGTGCGATTTCCGAGCGAACTGAACAGCAGTTTCGTCGTCAATCGTTTTGTTGACTATTTGCCTCCTCGTCGCACAGTCCTTCGTTAACCGACGCAGTCGCAAGGCGTATCGTGCGTCTGTTCTGCCTTCGTACTCACATTCTTACCTTCTCGTCGCCGATCCTTCATGTTATTATAAGCGGAAGTCGCAGCGCAGATTCCGAGCATGGATCTAGACGGAATGATCAGCGGAGGGGGAAGGGGAGGCCGCGGGGGAGGCGGTCGGGGGGGATACGGTGGAAGAGGGGGAAGAGGCGGAGGCGGAAGGGGAAGAGGCGTATGCAGATTCTGGCTGGAGGGCAACTGTAGAAAAGGTGAAAGTTGCGACTATCTACATACTGATTCATCTAGCGGGGGTGGCGGGTTCGGCGGAGGGGGAAGAGGCGGAGGCGGAAGCAGGGGAGGGGGAGCTGGCTGGGGGGGACAGGGGTGGGGTGGAGGCGGAGGTGGCGGAGGCGGGGGAGGGGGCACGGTTTTGGGCAGGCGGAATGCGGACAGTCAGGGGGATGGCGGAGGGTTTGGTGGTGAGCGGTGGGGAAGGCAAAGAGCAGGCGGAAGAAGCGGGGAGGGCGTCAGAGCGCGGCTCGGTGACGGGGGAGGCGGAGGGGGAGGGGGAGGCGGAGGGGGGGAGAGGCGCATTGCGAGGCGGAAGGCGTGCAAGTTCTGGCTGGGGGGAAGCTGCAACCGGCATAACTGCAATTTCTTGCACGCCCACACGACAGCTGCTGACGTGGAGATGATGACAGAGCTGACGGGGCATGAGAAGGTGTGGGTGGGGGAGTGTGTGGGAGTGTGTCTGAGTGTGTGTGTGGGTGTGTGTGTGTGGGTGTGTGGGTGTGTGTGTGTGTGGGTGTGTGTGGGTGTGTGTGTTTGTGTGTGGGTGTGTGTGTGTGTGAGAGAGAGAGACAAGGGGGTGCTCCACTCTAGTCCCATATGCTTGCCATCTTCAACCAATCCCACCCCCTCTCTCCTATTCCCGCACCTCCCCTCACGCGCACCTCCCCTCACGCGCACCTCCCCTCACGCGCACCTCCCCTCACGCGCACTTCCCCCCACCCGCATCTCCCCTCACCTCCCTGCCCCAGGTGGTGCGCGCCATAGCAGAGAGCTTCTCTTAGCTGTACACGGGCAGTCAATGAGTCACTCAGTCATTGAGGGGCCACGTGACAAAAGTTTAGGTGTGAGACGTCTCAAAACTACCGGAGAGCTCCTCTCAACTCCGTACACGGGCAGTCAATGAGTCACTCAGTCATTGACGGCCAAACACTTCACATCTGGCCATTTTCATTCCCTCCTCCCCTCCATCCCCCTCTCTCTTCCACCCCCTCAGGTGGTGCGGGCCATAGCTCTACCGGAGAGCTCCTCTCAGCTCCGTACACGGGCAGTCAATGAGTCACTCAGTCATTGAGGACCAAACCCTTTACATTTTTCTCTTTTTTATCTCCTCTCTTCACTCCCACCCAGGTGGTGCGGGCCATAGCTCTACCGGAGAGCTCCTCTCAGCTGAACACGGGCATTCAGTCATAGAGACCCAAACCCTTCACATTTCGCTCTTTTCATCCCCCCCTCCCGTCTCTCCCGCCTCAGGTGGTGCGCGCCATAGCTCTACCGGAGAGCTCATCTCAGCTGTACACGGGCAGTCAGGACGGGACCATCCGCGTGTGGGACTGCACGACAGGGCAGGTATGGCGCTCTCCATCTGCTTTGTTATGATACTAGATGTGACTACACAAGGTGTGATTCTATGGGGTGTGCTCTACCAGAGAGCTCCTCTCAGCTGTACACGGGCAGTCAGGACGGGACCATCCGCGTGTGGGACTGCACCACGGGGCAGGTACGGTGCTGTTGCTGTGCTGGAGGGTGAAGGGCGGTCAAGGGCGGTCAATGCCGGCCAAGGGCGGTCAAGGGCGGTCAGGACGGGTCCTTTAGAGTGTGGTTCTGCACCACGGGGCTGTTGGGAATTGGGATGGATGGATGTGAGTGTGACTTCATAGCGTGTATTGTGCTGGCCAGGTATGGCCAGGTGCGGCCAGGTGCGGCCAGGTGCGGTTAGGTGCGGCCAGGTGCGGTTTGGTGTGGCTCTCAGTGCAGCTCAGGTCACGTAGTGTGGGGCTGCAGCAGCAATCAAGAGTCTGGTTCTGCAATACGTGCCACAGTCAGGAGGCACGATCACAGTCAGGGGATAAGCGATCGTGCCTCCTGACTGTGTCTTTCTGAGGTGACTTTTCAGTCGACTCAAAAGCCAACAGCAGTCAAGCGTGTGGTTCTGTGATACGTGCCTGGGGGTTAGTGATCGTGCCTCCTTACTATGTCTCCCATGGTTTATTCGGGTCCCGTGTCGAGTGGTGGCTCTTTGTTTTCCCACTGCACCGCACTGTACCCTCTCTTCGCTTCCCACTCCCCGTACCCCTTTTCCCCCTCCCATTTTTTCCGTCAGTGCGTGAGTGTGCTTTTGAGTCGACTGCGTGAGTGTGGCGAGCATGGGAGGGGATGTGGGATTGCCAACTCTGGGTGGCTCTTTTTCTCACTTGCACCGCACTGTACCCCTCTGACTTCGTGCCCTTTCATACCCTTCCCAAATCACCCGTCAGTGCGTGAGTGTGGCGAGCATGGGAGGGGATGTGGGAGCACTGATCACCAACTCTGGATGGCTCTTTGTCGGACTGCCCAACCTTGTCAAGGTGCCCTTGTTGTGCCATGCTGTGCTTATGTTATGCCATACCATGCCATGCCATGCCATGCCATGCCATGCCATGCCATGCCATGCCATGCCATACCATGCCATGCCATGCCATGCCATGCCCTGCCACCCCATTCCATGCGTACCATACCATGTGATGCCAAGCCATGCGATTCCACATCATGCGATTCCATGCCGCTCCATGCCATGCCGACCTTGTCAAGACAAGGTGCTGCTGCCATGCCGCTATACCATGTCATGCTATTCTATTCTATGCTAGGCAAAACCATGCCGTGCCCTACTATGCCGTGCCATACCATGCCGTGTCATGCTACTGAATTGCTGGACATGCCATGCCATGTCATGCTATTTAATAGCTGGGCCACCAGTTTCTCAGCTGATAAGTCATAACCCGTGAATTCCCAAATCCCGATCCCTGTGCTGCAGACGTGAGTGCTTTTGAGACGTCTCGAAAACGCTCTAATTCCACGTGGCCCATCAATTTCTCAGCTGATAAGACATAACTCGCGAAATCCCAAACCCGATTCCCTGTGCTGCAGACGTGGGTGCTGGCAAGTGGCGTGCAGGGCGACTTGCCGGGCCCCACAGGGTCGGTGGGACTGAACGGAGTGCAGAGAGCATGAATGACTGTGCTTGTCTGTGTCCTGCGTTTCCATCCCCCCATTCCCCTGCTGTGCCTGTCTGCTGCAGACGTGGGTGCTGGCGAGTGGGGTGCAGGGCGACCTGCCGGGCCCCACAGGGTCGGTGCACCAGCTGCTGCTGCACAACGGCATGCTCTTTGCCGCCTGCTCCGTAAGCGGTGGGATGGGGTGGACGGGCGTGGAATGCGGTGGTGTGGGGTGGTATGCCATGGGGTATGGTCCTACAGGATTGGTGCAGTAACTGCTGTTGCACAACAGCATGCTCTTTGCCACCTGCAGTGTGAACGGTGGGATGGGGTGGGGTGGTGTGGGATGGGATAGGATGGGTTTGGGTGGATGGATTGTGGTACAGTGGGGTGGGATGCGGTGGCATTGCATTGGGTGTGGCATTGCATGCGGTAACATTACATGTTTCGTTCACCCCTCCCCACTCCCCCCCACATACCTCAGGACGACAAGATCCTGTCTTGAAAGTTCAACCTGCCCTCACAGCAGTTTGAGTCAACAGCATTCTCTTCGGCGTCTTTTCCCCCATCCATCCCTGTTTTCTCCCTTCCACCCCCCCTGTTTCCGTCCCTTCGTTGTCCCTCCCTCTTCCCCCACACATACCTCAGGACGGCAAGATTCTGTGTTGGAAGTTCAACCCGACCTCACAGCAGTTCGAGCCCGTGGCGTCACTCACAGGCCACACAGCTGCTGTCGTTTGCCTTGAAGCCACCGCCTCGCACCTCTTCTCTGGGTCCATGGACAAGAGCATCAGAGTGAGTGTGGAATGTGGAGTGTGGAGTGAGGGTGAGTGGAGAGTGAGTGGGTGTAGAGTGAGTGGGATATAGATCACGAGGCACACTATGACGAGCCACACAGCTACTGGCGTGTGCCTGGAAGCCACAGTCCCGCACCTCTTTTCTGGGTCCATGGATAAGAGCATGAGAGTGAGTGTGAAGTAGATGTAAACTGAATGAGTTCTGTTTTAATATGAGGCACACACTCACGAGCCATACAGCTGCCTGGCGTGCGCCTGGAAGCCACAGCCTCGCACCTCCTCTGGCACTATGAACAAGACCACCAGAGTGAGTGTGGAGTGGGTGTGGGATGTAGAGTGAATGGGATATGGATCATCAGGTGTCATTTACACACAGGTGTCTCGGCTGCTGTGGTGCGCCTGGAAGCCACAGCCACGCACATCGTCTCTGGCACTATGAATAAGACCATCAGAGTGAGTGCTATGTGGACAATGAGGCATCAGAGTGGGTGTATAGAGTGAGTATAGGCTGAGTTTAGAGTGAGTGTATAGTGAATGTATATTGAGTGTAAGGTGAGTGTAGAGTGGTACAAAAAATCAATGCTCTCACTTCCGTTCTGTTTCTCCCATCCGATCCCCCCCCCCCTCCCCATTATCTCTCTCACCCTTGTGTCTTACATGATATGGGATCTCAGCACGGGAGCATGTGTGCACATAGTGCCGACTCACGATCATGTGGTGATGGCGCTGGTGGCCTGGCAAACTCACCTGCTCTCCTGCTCACTCAGTAATTCCCCCCCTCTCTCCCCCCCCTCCCTTCCTGCCTTTCTTCCCGCCTTGCTTCCCACCAGGTATGGGATCTCAGCACGGGAGCATGTGTGCACATAGTGCCGGCTCACGACCACGTGGTGATGGCGCTGGTGGCCTGGCAGACGCACCTACTCTCCTGCTCGCTGGATGGGACTGTAAAGGTGAGAGAGGAAGGTGGGGGGAAGAGGGTCCATCAAATTTGCATTTACTCACGCCAGATGTTTTTTTTTCTTTTACCCGACTAAACCCGAAACCTTCAACCCTAAACCTGACCCTTACATGTCTAATTTCTCAGCGCATACGTTTTGAACATTTGTTTTGAAATCTCAAGCTCTGATCCCCCGAACCCTACACGTCGCCCCTTAAACCCCAACAGGTGTGGCCTTGTCAGCAGCAGGCGGGGGCGCCATCGACTCTGCATTTAACACACGCAGATGCTTTTCCATAATACCCTGATAAACCCTTAACTTCTCTTGAGAGGTGTGGGCGCCGTCAGCAGCAGGAAGGGGGGGGCATCGACTTGGCGCTCACTCACACATGGTTTCAATGATGACCCTTCTATACTCTGATTTTTTCCCTTAAAATCAGGGCAGATCTGGGAACAGTCAGCAACAGGAGGGGATGCCATTGACGTCGCATTCACTCACACAGATGTTTCAAGAATCCTCAACAACACAATGCTAACTAAAAACCCTGAACCCTATACATCTTCCCTTCAACCCCAACAGGTTTGGGCGCCCGACGCAGGAGGAAGAGGGGGTCTTAAAGTGGCGTTCACTCATGGAAATGATTTTTTTCTCTCTCTCTCTCGATCGTTTTCTTTCTAAACTCTTAAACCCCTCCAGGTATGGGCACCATCCGCAGCAGGGGGGGGCGCCATTGACCTCGCATTCACTCACACAGATGCAGACGACAAGGGTGGCAGCGGGCAGACGGACAGAGAACCTGATGTACGTCTAGACACCCTGTTAGATACCAATCGAGCCCGACCTAGAGGCCATGGTTCAATACGTGGCAGCAATTTCTTGGTTGAGACACCTGATCTACGTTTTGACATTCTGTTAGATCGATGAAGTCGCACCTGGGTGGCAACTGCAAAAGAAATATAGGTACACAGTAGACATGTAAGCAACAGTGTTTTTCTCTCTTTCTTTCTTTCTCTTTTCTACTGCACTCCTCAGATTTTCTCATTGATCCTATCGAGGAATATAGTGGTCTCCTTTTTTTTTTTTGCAGAATTTCAGTTCTCAACCGTCCTCCAATTCACCACGTTCCTGTGTGACATTGAGCGTCCACCCGTAACATCATGTGTTTTAATTTTAGAAATTTTTATCATATTTTGGTCGTACCTATCCCTTCGCGAGCCGGGTTTTATACTGGCATGTGTGTGTTTGTGTGTGTGTGCACGTGGGGAAACAGGTGCTAATAGGTATGTATAAGCCCCCACCCCCTCTGTACTTCTCCTGCTCTCCTTCCCCCTTGCTGATTGCAGGGAGATATTGCAGTGCGCGCAACGCAAGTGCCGCACACTGGTCTAGTCTCTACCAGCCAATCCCGTTCTCAAAGAGGCACAAGAATATCATTTCCTTCCTCTTGTTCTCTCGTTTCCCTTCCCTGCTGCAGAGTGCGTTGGCCATGAGAGTGAGTACGGACCTGGCAGGCAATCAGGTGTATGTTGAGGCGCCTTAAAATACACCTCAATGCTGCAGGGTGCGTTGGCCATGAGAGTGAGTACGGACCTGGCAGGCAATCAGGTGCTCATGGTGGCACAACCCCTCTCCTCCTCGCCACCCTTTGTTCCCCCCATTCTCCTTCCACACGTCCCTTCGCCGTCCCTCCAATGCAGGGAGCGCTGGCAATGAAAGTGAGCACGGACCTGGCGGGTAATCAGGTGCTCATGGTGGCATACAGTGACAACTCTGTTCGCCTCTACGACCTCCCATCGTACGTTCTGTTTTCTTGTTTCTGTTTCTATTTATATATATATATATATATATATATATTTGGCATTTCATTGCTTTGTGCTTCTTTTGCCCTTTTTTGTTTCTTGGAATCGCAAGGAGTTTCAAAACTTTTTGGAGTCACAAAGAGCCACCCTCGTCACCTCATGCCATCTCGAATCACTTCTCACCGATGCCACATGTCACACACACCATGCTTCCCCATGCCACGTCATCACAACAACCAGGTTCACAGAGCGGGGAGCGTTGTTCACAGTGCAGGAGGTGCGGTCGTTGTGTGTGGGGCCCAGCGGTCTCATGTTCACAGGGGACAGTGCAGGGACCGTCAAGGTGTGGCGGTGGACGCAGTGAGAGTAATAAACTGCTGAAGGGGAGGGGGATGGAGGAGGGAGATGGAGTACAGGAGACGTAAAGGTGCAGGAGGTGCGGTTGCTGTGTGTGGGGCCCAGTGGTCTCATGTTCACAGGGGACAGTGCAGGGACCGTCAAGGTGTGGCGGTGGACGCAGTAGAAGGGGGCTGTTGAAGTGCCAGGAAGGGGGGAGAAAGATGGGGTAGAGCGGACGTTCAGGTGCAGCAGGGGGTGTGGTCGCTGTGTGTGGGGCCCAGCGGTCTCATGTTCACAGGGGACAGTGCAGGGACCGTCAAGGTGTGGCGGTGGACGCAGTGAGGGTATTTGAGGGGAGGGATGTGGGAGACGGAGTGCAGGGTTGGTCAGGTGGTACCTGTGTGTACCGTCTAGATGGATACGTACAGTGGTCTTGTGTTCGCTGGTGACAGTGCAGGGAGGGACGGTGAAGGTGTGGCGGCGGACGCAGTGAGGGATTTAAGCAGGAGAAGAAGGGAGAGAGGGAGAGGGGAGCTCAAGGGAGACCTCTAAAGTGCAGCTGATGTGTGAATCTTTAGGACTTTCTCACAAGGTGGGGCCCAATGCGGAACCAGCACTGGGACTGTGAAAGTGTGGCATGGTGGTGGGCAGGAGGGTTTTAAGACTGGTGTGATGCGGTGCAGTGCAGTGCAGCCTTCAGATGGAGCAATGGTACAATCGTTGAGCAAGGCAGGGGTCAGCCAGCCAACTAAGGCTCTGTAGGGATTTAGGTTGAGGAAGGGGGTACTGCTACTAAGTGCTTGTTGGGGATGTGGTGGCACATACGGTACCGTAGTACTCGATGGTAGTCTTTGGCTTGTTCAGCCGGCAAATGTCGGAGGTTGAGGGTATGGTCTCTGCTGGTCCATAGGTCGAATTCAACTTATGGATATAATGAGTCGCACTCGTATGCAGAATCAGGGTGGAGGGAGGAGAGCGGGAGGGGAGATTGGAAGTCAGACTAATGTACACCAAGCGATGCTGGACAATGAAACCTCAATATGCAGTGCAGTACAAGTGAGGTGAGCTTGTTCAATTATGTACGGTAAGTTGCAGTATGTACTGCACTGTAACAAGCAGTCATTGACCGCACTGAAAGGCATTAAACCGAGGCGTAGGTTAGGAACATGCACTAATTACTGGTAGGCTTGGAATATGCAGCACAACAAACTACCTAGGTTAGGGTAAACTAGGCAAATGAAGGTGGCGAAAGGTGCGGTGGCAAGGCTTGGAAGTGGTTCGGGGAGAACATGTAAGTAGAATCAGCTAGACCCTTCCAGAATGTGCGAGCTATAGAAAGAATTGTAATTCCTTACACCAATCATACGGTATGATGGAATACAATAACATACACGACACAAGCTGGTTGAACCCTGTATCCATGCCCTACACCACAAACCCTGAACCCAGGAGCTTGAAGCACTTCAGATTCACACCAGAGGGGCACCATCATAAAGACGTCAGAAGCTGTTGCCAGATACAGACGCCCAAAAAATGTGGGTATGGAACCTGCGCAACTCATCCCAGCATTTCGCGAACCATTTCGTAAGCGAGAAAGCACGCAGCATTTGCTGGTACACTCCGAGCCATGGCAGGGCCGAACCCTCTGTACAAGCCCTTCACGCCCTCTGTGGCCCACACCTTCTTGAAAGCCTGTACTGTGCCGGTGTACTTGGGGTTCCTGCACACGCACATTGAAGAAATCAGCCATCAAAATGTAATGCATAAGTTAACCCTGCGATTAGGTCAGAGTCATCCATGTGTGGTCAGTGACATGCAATGTGCTGTCAATGACATGCAATGAGTGGTCAATGACATGCAATGGGCGGTCAACGACATGCAATGAGCGGTCAACGACATGCAATGAGCGGTCAACGACATGCAATGAGCTTTCAATGACATGCAATGAGCGGTCAATGACATGCAATGAACGGTCAATGACATGCAATGAGCGGTCAATGACATGCAATGAGCGGTCAATGACATGCAATGAGCGGTCAATGGCATGCAATGAGCGGTCATGACATGCAATGTGCTGTCAATGACATGCAATGAGTGGTCAATGACATGCAATGGGCGGTCAATGACATGCAATGAGTGGTCAATGACATGCAATGAGCGGTCAATGACATGCAATGAGCGGTCAATGACATGCACTGAGCGGTCAATGACATGCAATGAGCGGTCAATGACATGCAATGAGCGGTCAATGACATGCAATGAGCGGTCAATGACATGCAATGAGCGGTCAATGACATGCAATGAGTGGTTAATGACATGCAATGGGAGGTCAATGACATGCAATGGGAGGTCAATGACATGCAATGAGCGGTCAATGACATGCAATGAGCGGTCAATGACATGCAATGGGAGGTCAACTGCATGCACTGTGTGGTCAGAGACATGCAGTGAGTGGTAAATAGTATGCAATATGTGATCAATAACACTCAGTGTGGGTTCAATCCATACTATGCAGTGAGTGAGGTCAATGTTCTGCCACGAAAAGTGTGATGAGTCGTCATAAACATGCATGTAACCCTCCCGGGCTAATCTGACGTGCAGTACTGCATATTAAATGTCTTGTCCTGGCCGCATGTCCCCATCGCGGTGAAACCAGAATAAAATTTGCAGGAAATAAATCATATCTCTTCATGCCGTTGCTCACCTGTAGTCGTCTACTTGGATCATGCTCTTGATGACGTCAGTCGGGTACACCGAGGCCCAAAAGCACGCACCACCCACGCCACCGGCAACGAGCAGCGCTCCCCGGCTGAGCTCTGACGTGTCAGTTCCTCCTGCCATCAGCTGGAGCACAAGGGAAGGAGAAGGGGATTTGGTGAATATCCCAGACTAGTTGTAAATCAGCTTCTTCAGGGCAGAGGAAGAAGCGTGAGAGAAAAGGAGCGGGTGCGAGGGGAGCAGGAGAAGCCATGTTGGATGCTAAGAAGGGAGATGAACAGGGAAAGAGCGACAGAGAGGTATAGTATGAACGGAGAGAGAGCTGGTACAGAACAGCTGACCTGCCTGCCACCCAGAGCCGAATACAAGATTAGGCTGCGTATGCCTGCGTACTCTATGAGAATGCGTTCAGAATTATATTCCGCACTCTCAATTTGTTGAGCTGGAATCGATTTGACCTCGAGATTACGCTCAACAAAATCAGGCAAATCTCTGGAAGTGCGTGTTTTACTCGTATCCATAACAAATTCGAACCATCAAGTTGGCCTACGTACGCAGTATCATCACAATCGCCGCACAAACTACCTCAAGCCCATCCAGTCTCTCACCTGTTTAGTCGCCTCGTATGCTCCGAACATAGCCGCGTTTCCAGGCACCTCCCGCATCAGCGTGGGAGTTAGGCCCTTAAACAGCCCCAACGCGCCGCCCTCCGACCGAATGACGTGGCGCGCCACGTCCAGTGGGCCCGCGTAACGCGGAACGCTCATGGAGACGGTTGGCCCGCCAGCAGCAACGCCTGCGACAGCTCCCTGTAAAGAAAAACGGGAAAAGAAGTACTTTAGGCAGGTGAAGATTTGACGTCGTTGACAGATAACAATTTTGACGATTGACGAAATGTCGGTTCCTGCTCGATCTCCATTGCACATTGCCATGATTTCAGGAACACCGTAAGCGCACCGAACTTCTTCAACCAGTGCGCTATGGACAGTTACATGCTGTAGACTCCCGAGGCGTTTACGAGCTAGGAAGTGGAAATTGCAGGAATTGACGTGGCAATACCTGGAGAGGGGCGGCCGCGAGAGCACTTTGAGCTTGCAGCCGGCACTTGATCAGCTCCGTCGGGCACGCGACGAACGACACGGCCAGGCCGGCTCCTCCGCCGGCAATCACCTGCTTCCCCACCGAAAGCTTTTCGTCCGGACTACTCTTCAGAATCGCTTCCATCTGCCCGCGGGCAGTGAAAAGAACGGCGTTGAAAACGGCGACTGTGGCGAGAGGAGGACCGATACCCGCGTAGAGACCCTTCGGGCCTTCAGCGGCTATTGTTTTCCGGACCGCGTCCATGGCGCCTGAGTACATGGGTGGCTGGCCTGGAGCCGGCTTGGGCTGTGCTTGTAGCTTGACCTTGATTGTATCGAAAGGATGACCGACGAGAAGCTGAGCTACTCCTGCGAGAGTTCCGGCGGTCAGGTCCTTCGCGACAGCGCTGTTGTCGGAAGCCATGATCTCAGTTGAAGGCAAGGAACAAGGCACAAACGAAAGAGCTATGTACAGATTGAGAACAAACCACAAACTGCTTCTTCGTCTCAACTCAAGCTTTGACCTTATTTACTGGTCGCTTATGTACTGCTATAACGTTCGGCTGGTTGGCATGACAGGAAGGATTTCGGCAGTGCCAAGGTGCATGTGCTGGGACGAGATGCCTGGCGAAGGGGCGACCTAATGTTTGTCCCCACTTTTTTATGAACTAGCGCGCCTCGATTTTTTAGGGAGTGAGTGGCTGCTGCTTGAATTCGAGCCTCCCTAGAGATTGGGGGGGACCTTGAAGCTGGTGGCTGTTGTTTCATGCTGTCGTGGCGCCTTGAATTGTGATTCGCAATCGTTTCTCCAGGCTGTGTGGCTGGGTGGGAAAGGGATGTTGGTGAGTGGGTACATCGCTTTGGACGACTACTGTGGGAAAACCGTAACCGTACACTCTGGTAAATCCGATGGTGTAGACGTTGAAAAGTGAAAGGCGGGAAAATGCTGAAACGGGCTCGCCCAATGAAGTGCAACATCGAGCTAGTCCAGCCAATTGCGTCGCGTCACAGCTGGTCTCAAGAGCCACAAAACACACAAGGACTTGCCTAAACCTACACTTGCGATGATAGCAAACAACTAGCTTTTTCAGCTAAACAATTTAGTTGATGGTATGGCAACAATCTCAAAAGCATCAAGCCTAGTAAGGCCAATCATAATAATCGTTGCCACACGAGCTTCATTGCACCGCAAAGTGATGATAACTCATAGGTAAAGAGATGCTGCAAACACAATGCCTCTCTTAAGCTTCTCACTTGCTGCGGATATCTTTTCTGCAAGGCTTGTTTCTCCGATTGTCTTACTCGCCACAATGATCTGAACACGAAAATGAACAAAGACAAACAACGCCACAGAGGGATGATGAGGACAGCTTGAACATGCTGGAGGTTAAGGAATTGTATGCAACGCACTGCTTTGCTGCCTGTGTTCCACTACTCAACTCACAGCTCACTCTCCCACCGCACTCACCTCCTGCAGCAACTCTTCCAGCCGCCGCCTCATGACAGATCAGCAACTCCTGAAAGCTGTTGCCTCGTGTCTCTCTGTGCGTTGTTAGTTAACTCTCCCACTCATAGCTCCCACTCTCCCACTCTCAACTGCAGCAGCCCTTCCAGCCACCTTATGACACGAATCTGCGTCCCCTCAAACAAGTGAGCAGCTGCCTCTCTTGTCCTTTGTTACTGAACCCAATCATTCAAAAGGGACACAATCCCACACGCACCTCCTGCAGCAGCTCCTCCAGTCGCCTCATAGCGCGAACGAGAGACCCCTCAAACGTGTCGGCTGCTGCCTCTATGCGCCTTGTTACATAACCCAATCACAAGGACACCGTCTCCCACTCTCACCTCCTGCAGCAGCTCCTCCAGTCGCCTCATAGCGCGGATCAGAGACCCCTCAAACGTGTCGGCTGCTGCCAGGACATCAGCGAACGCGGCGCCATGGCACCACCCAAACACCGCCTCCATGATGTCTGGTCGAAATGAGGCCACATATGTTTCCACATCGAGGGCAATCTGATGGCGGCAGGGAGTGGATGTAGGGAGGCAGGGTGAGAGAAGTGTTCAAAACATCAGCGAACGCGGCGCCATGGCACCACCCAAACACCGCCTCCATGATGTCTGGTCGGAAGGACGCCACGTAGGTTTCCACATCGAGAGCAATCTGATGGCAGAAGGGAGAGGGTAAAGGGAAGAGAGTGAACGCGGCGCCATGGCACCACCCAAACACCGCCTCCATGATGTCTGGTCGGAAGGATGCCACGTAGGTTTCCACATCGAGAGCAATCTGATGGTAGAAGGATGAGGAGCGCAAGCAGAAAGAGGCATTGAGCAGATCAGCGAACGCAGCCCCATCCATGGCACCACCCAAACACCGCCTCCATAATGCCCGGGCGGAAGGACGCCACGTAGGTCTCCACGTCGAGCGCAATCTGAAGGGGGAAAATCATTGAGCATTGCAGGCATCTGCAGAGTAGGCATAGGGAACGTCAGCGAATGCAGCACCAATCTTCCTCAGCTGCGTCAGCAGCCCCTGCAGGCTCTCCCTCGGGCTCTTCGCCCTGCCAGCGCCCTTCTCCTGCCACACGCAGCACGACAGCAAGCCTCGTTGCCACATGCCCATTCCTCACCTTGCATTCCTCCTGCACGCGTGCTATCCGCCGGGCAATCTCCCTCAGCTGCGCCAGCGGACCCTGCAGGCTCTCTCTCGGTCTCTTGGCCCCGCCGGCCCCCTTCTCCTGCCACACGCAGCACGACAGCAGCGCCGCCACGGTCTCAGGAGGCAGGTCCGCCAGGGCTGCACTGAAGAGCAATTCGGTCACCACCAGCTCGTCTGCTGAGGAGATCTCACAGGCTACCCTGCCCTTGACTCGCACAATCTCATCTTCATCGATGTACCTGCAAGGACATGGGGAAGGGAAACAGGGAAAGCCAGGGCTGCACTGAAGAGCAATTCGGTCACCACCAGCTCGTCTGCCGAGGAGATCTCACAGGCTACCCTGCCCTTGACTCGCACGATCTCATCTTCATCAATGTACCTGCAAGGACACGGGGAAGGGAAACAGGGAAAGCCAGGGCTGCACTGAAGAGCAGTTCTGTGACCACTAGCTCGTCCGCTGAGGAGATCTCACAGGCCACTCTTCCTTTGACTAGCGCGATCTCATCCTATCAATGTATCTGCTGGGAACAAGGAACAGAAGAAGAGAACACCAGATGGTTGGGTGATTGGCTATGCTGCCACGGTCTCGGGAGACAGGTCTGTCAGGGCAACACTGAAGAACAGTATTGAAGAACAGTTCAGAGACCACCAGCTCGTCTGCAGAGGAGATCTCACAGGCTACCCTGCCTTTGACTCGCACAATCTCGTCCTATCAATGTAATAGCAGGGAACAGCGGTCCCTCCCTCCGATATCTTTTGAGACGTCTCAAAAGTCGCACAATCTCGTCCTATCAATGTAATAGCGGGGAACAGCAATCCCTCCCTCCGATATCCCTCCCTCCGATATCCCTCCCTCCGATATCCCTCCCTCCGATATCCCTCCCTCCGATATCCCTCCCTCCGATATCCCTCCCTCCGATATCCCTCCCTCCGATATCCCTCCCTCCGATATCCCTCCCTCCGATATCCCTCCCTCCGATATCCCTCCCTCCGATATCCCTCCCTCCGATATCCCTCCCTCCGATACCCCTCCCTCCGATATCCCTCCCTCCGATATCCCTCCCTCCGATATCCCTCCCTCCGATATCCCTCCCTCCGATATCCCTCCCTCCGATACCCCTCCCTCCGATATCCCTCCCTCCGATATCCCTCCCTCCGATATCCCTCCCTCCGATATCCCTCCCTCCGATATCCCTCCCTCCGTTCGTTATACTCACTCTAATGGCCGCAGTACCCTGATCTGCGCTTTAAGCTCGTCCTTCAATAATAGTCTTTCTTAACACCCCCATGCACCCCACCCCTCCCTTTCCAATACTCACTCCAATCGACGCAGCACCCTCATCCTCGCTTTAAGCTCGTCCTTCAATATAAGCCCGCCCGCCGCCTTGACCTCCTTTTTAAGCACTTTGAGTGCAATTTTCAGCTTGCTCTTCCGAGCCAGCTCCCGGACCCGAACCTGCAGGTCCGGCGCCGAGGCTAGAGCGTGGGAAGCGATCAGTGCTTCGAGTGCTTCGGCTCTCCTCACGGCCTTGCGATAGGCTGGGCTGTTGACCTGGACGGGTGGAAAGAAGAGAAGAGGGCATGAGAGAGGAATTAAGGAGAAGCTTTTGAGACGCAAAAGCTTTTGAGAGCAAAAAGGTTTACAATCTTTGCTACATCAACCAGGGTCAGAGCAGCACGCCATCCACTTCACACCTTTGCAAACATATTCTTCTGTAACCATTCTGACTTTTGAATTGAAAGCATGCCTCCTCTCTGGACTTCAGCAGAAGCATAAACTAACTATGTGCACACAACACACTCTGCGACTGTACCCTCCATAAGCATATCACCATATCTTCTTCAGGGTCCAGCCTCTGCACACCATCCGCCCCAGCTTGCAGCAGATGCGTTAACCTGACACACTCTCTACAAGCATTGTTGCGTACTCTCTACAAGCATACCTCCATGTCTTCTTCAGGATCCAGCATCTGCACACCATTTACTCCCTCAACAGTACAAGCAAGAACACATTATCCCCTTTACAAGCATACCTCCATATCCTCTTCAGGGTCCAGCATTTGCACGCCATCTGCCCCAGCTCTCAGCAGCAGCTGCTGCAGCGACTTCAGGGCGGCCTCTCTTGGCTCCTTGTGCTTCAGGTCCTTTGGGAGAAAGAGGCGCACTGCGCTTATGCCATCCAGCTGAAAATGGGGTTGATTACAATAGATATAAACAGAGCAGGAGAAGGACGTATAGGAGCAATTTAGGGCGGCCTCTCTTGGCTCCTTGTGCTTCAGGTCCTTTGGGAGAAAGAGGCGCACTGCGCTTATGCCATCCAGCTGAAAGAGGAAATGATCACAACGGGGATAAAGGGAGGAAAGTAAGGAAAAGCAAGAGAGCGGACGGCCTCCCCTGGCACTTTGTGCTTCAGGTCCTTTGGAAGAAACAGGCGCACTGCGCTTATGCCATCCAATTGCAAGAGGGTTGATTATAACGAGAATAGATGGATGGAGCAGCATGAGGGGTTGAGCTCCACTGATTCGGTGCACCCTTTGAGGAAGAAAAAGGGGCAACGAGGCTTCGGTTGGCTCCTTGTAACCACATTTCGGGTCCTTGGGGTGGGGAGGAACAGCCGCACCGCACAGCACCACATTAAAGGAGCACGAGGTGCAACGACTAGAGGGTACAGCAGCAGAGTATACTGGTCGTGACAAACGTTAGTCTGAGGAAATCAACACAAGCCCCCCTCCTTGCCGAGCGATATGTTCAATTCACATGAAAACTGCAGCAACAAGAGGTGCAACAACTGGTGATTCAATACCGAGTCAGTCAGAGGGAACGAGGCAACAAGAGGAGAGCCCCCTTCCTCCCCTGGTCTACACGGCCGCACCACCTTCCTGCCGCTCCCAATCAGCAACATGCATACATCCAAGCGACATGTTCACACGGCCATTGCTTCTCAGAAGAACCAATGAGGTGACTTTTGAGTCGACTCAAAAATCTTCTCAGAAGAACCAATGAGGTGACTTTTGAGTCGACTCAAAAATCTTCTCAGAAGAACCAATGAGGTGACTTTTGAGTCGACTCAAAAATCTTCTCAGAAGAACCAATGAGGTGACTTTTGAGTCGACTCAAAAATCTTCTCAGAAGAACCAATGAGGTGACTTTTGAGTCGACTCAAAAATCTTCTCAGAAGAACCAATGAGGTGACTTTTGAGTCGACTCAAAAATCTTCTCAGAAGAACCAATGCCGCAACACATACCTGGGTCAGAGGGAACGAGGCAACCAAGGGATTGCCTCCCTCCTCTCCCGGTCTGCACGGCCGCACCACCTTCCTGGGCCCCCCAGGCGGCCCCATGCGCCCTGCATTTCCTTCCTCCTCCATTGCTACTCAGAAGAAGCACTGCCGCACCACGCACCTGAGTTAGAGGGAACGAGGCAACCAATGGATTGCCTCCCTCCTCCCCCGGTCTGCACAGCCGCACCACCTTCCTGGGCCCCCCAGGCGGCCCCATGCGCCCTGCACTTCCTTCCTCCTCCATTGCTACTCAGAAGAAGCACTGCCGCACCACGCACCTGAGTTAGAGGGAACGAGGCAACCAATGGATTGCCTCTCTCCTCCCCCGGTCTGCACAGCCGCACCACCTTCCTGGGCCCCCCAGGCGGCCCCATGCGCCCTGCATTTCCTTCCTCCTCCATTGCTACTCAGAAGAAGCACTGCCGCACCACGCACCTGAGTTAGAGGGAACGAGGCAACCAATGGATTGCCTCCCTCCTCCCCCGGTCTGCACAGCCGCACCACCTTCCTGGGCCCCCCAGGCGGCCCCATGCGCCCTGCACTTCCTTCCTCCTCCATTGCTACTCAGAAGAAGCACTGCCGCACCACGCACCTGAGTTAGAGGGAACGAGGCAACCAATGGATTGCCTCCCTCCTCCCCCGGTCTGCACGGCCGCACCACCTTCCTGGGGCCCCCAGGCGGCCCCATGCGCCCTGCACTTCCTTCCTCCACACACCGCGTGAGAATGTCCACGTCATACGCCACGTCAGCTGCTGCTTCCGCCGCCTCTGCAAGTGTGGGAGGGAGTAAGGAGAAGCAATGTGTGTGAAATGTTCAGATCATATTGACTTTTTGAGTTGACTCAAATGCCACAAGTCACAGTACTACACAATGCCATGTCATATCATATGCGGGCAGAACTCTTAATGGGGCCATGGGGCCGCCTGGGGGGCCCAGGAAGGTGGTGCGGCCGTGCAGACCGGGAGACAATTTGTTTGTTTGTTTGATTGTCATACACAACTCCCAATGGGGCCATGGGGCCGCCTGGGGGGCCCCATACACAACTCCCAATGGGGCCGCCTGGGGGGCCCCATACACAACTCCCAATGGGGCCGCCTGGGGGGCCCCATACACAACTCCCAATGGGGCCGCCTGGGGGGCCCCATACACAACTCCCAATGGGGCCGCCTGGGGGGCCCCATACACAACTCCCAATGGGGCCGCCTGGGGGGCCCCATACACAACTCCCAATGGGGCCGCCTGGGGGGCCCCATACACAACTCCCAATGGGGCCGCCTGGGGGGCCCCATACACAACTCCCAATGGGGCCGCCTGGGGGGCCCCATACACAACTCCCAATGGGGCCGCCTGGGGGGCCCCATACACAACTCCCAATGGGGCCGCCTGGGGGGCCCCATACACAACTCCCAATGGGGCCGCCTGGGGGGCCCCATACACAACTCCCAATGGGGCCGCCTGGGGGGCCCCATACACAACTCCCAATGGGGCCGCCTGGGGGGCCCCATACACAACTCCCAATGGGGCCGCCTGGGGGGCCCCATACACAACTCCCAATGGGGCCGCCTGGGGGGCCCCATACACAACTCCCAATGGGGCCGCCTGGGGGGCCCCATACACAACTCCCAATGGGGCCGCCTGGGGGGCCCCATACACAACTCCCAATGGGGCCGCCTGGGGGGCCCCATACACAACTCCCTGGCAAACAAACCGCGACACACGAGACAATTTCAAAGGCGCACTCACCATCTTGCTGCTCCCCTCCTCCCACTCCCCTTTTCCGGTTCACCTTCTTGAAATTCACCACCACGCCCCATACAGTCACATCCTCCTCGTTCCCTATCCCCCCCGCCTCCCCCCCTTCCCCTCCCCCCCTCCCCCTCCCCTTCCCCCTCCGCTCCCCCCGCCCCGCCCCCTCCCCCCAGGCACAGTATCCGCACAACCCTCCCAGGGGAGAGGAAGGGGAGGGCGTGGCGGGGGGTGGTGAGGAAGGAACGGATTTCAGCCCTCAGAGCAGAGAGTTGGCGGCGGAGGGAGAGGAGGGCGAGGAGAGACGACTCGTCAGGGATGCTGATTGCTGAATGCTCCGCTTCCAGTGCTTGCAAGCGCGCCTGTTGGGGGGAGAAAGGGGGCAGGGCAGGGAAAGGCGAGAGTTTGGCTGTGGTAAAGAGGGAGTGGTGAGGGAGGAGCGGATCTGAGCCCTCAGAGCGGAGAGTTGGCGGCGGAGGGAGAGGAGGGCGAGGAGAGACGACTCATCGGGGATGCTGATTGTTGAATGTTCAGCTTCCAATGCTTGTAAGCGTTCCTGTGGGGCGGAAAAGGGGGCGACAGGGAACGGGAAGGGGAGGGCGGGGGGGGGGGGGGGGGGGGCAGTGGGGAAGGAGCGGATCTCCGCCCTCAGAGCAGAGAGTTGGCGGCGGGGGGAGAGGAGGGCGAGGAGGGAGGGACGACTCGTCGGGGATGGTGATTGCTGCGTGCTCGGCTTCCAAAGCTTGTAGGCGCGCCTGCGAAGGGGGGCAAAGGGAGGAGGGCGGAAAAAGTGGGAAGGCAGACTGTGGTAAATAGGGGGTGGTGAGGAAGGAACGGATTTGAGCTCTCAGGGCGGAGAGTTGGCGACAGAGGCCGAGGAGAGATGACTCGTCGGGGATGACTGTTGCTGATTGCTGAGTGCTGATTGCTCGGCCTCGAGTGCTTGCAAAGGTGCCTGTTGGGTGAAAAGGCGTTTTGAGACGTCTCAAAACAATGCTGATTGCTCAGTGCTCGGCCTCGAGTGCTTGCAAAGGTGCCTGTTGGGTGAAAAGGCGTTTTGAGACGTCTCAAAACAATGCTGATTGCTCAGTGCTCGGCCTCGAGTGCTTGCAAAGGTGCCTGTTGGGTGAAAAGGCGTTTTGAGACGTCTCAAAACAATGCTGATTGCTCAGTGCTCGGCCTCGAGTGCTTGCAAAGGTGCCTGTTGGGTGAAAAGGCGGGCAACGGGGAACGGGAAGGGGAGAGCGTGCTGAAGACGGGGTGGTGAGGAAGGAGCGGATCTCAGCTCAGGGTTTTTGAAGCCAGGATTCTGTCTGATCAACGCACCTGCAGGGCTGGGAGCGCTCTATGCGGTCGGAACTGATAGTACGATGTGACTGCTCTTTTTTTCACTTTTGCACTTTCAAGAATCTCCAAACCGAACCCTTGAAAAGAAACCAAGATTCCCTCTCATGTACGCACCTGCAGTGCTGGTAATGCTCGGTCTGATTGGAACTGGCGGTAGGAGCTTCTGATAGTCTGCTCTATCTCCACTTCTGGACTCCTCAGCTGGTTCAGAATGAAGTTGTACGACAGGTGGAACGCGCTGATTGGACACAAGGAGCAAGACAAGAAAGTGGGAAAAAGGGGAAGGGAAGGGAAGGTGTAAGACGGCAGGAGGCAGGAGGAAAGGAAACAGTGAAGCGGGTGCCTCATAGCAAAGAGATTGGTTCTAGCTTTCCTGACTTGAGCGAAGCACTGCACCTGCCTGCAGAGCCCTCACTGGAGGCCCTGGCCTCATGTATGAGACCACCACACAAGCTGTCAGAAAAGGGGGTACATTCAGAATGCAAATGCTGCGGTCGTCTTGCGGGTATGCTCCTAATATAGCACGCCGCACCTCACGAAGGGGTCTGCCATGCCAAGCCTGTGACCATCCCCTTGGCCACGGCCGGTTCCATCCATGCGCGAGTCCACCATCAGAATGCAGATGCCGCTGTAGTACACTGGTGGGTTGTAGACTGCCTTTATAAGACAGGAAGCACACTTTACCTCACTAGCGGGTCCGCAGAGCCCTTGACCATCCCCTTGGCAACGGCTGGCTCCATCCATTCGCGAGTCCACCATCAGAACGCAGATGCTCCGGTCGTTCAGGCCTCGCCTGCCTTGTATGGAATAAAAGTAGAAGCTTTTATTCGATCCCCCTCACACGCACCTCACTAGGGGGTCTGCAGAGCCCTTGACCATCCCCTTGGCAACGGCTGGTTCCATCCGCGAGTCCACCATGAGAATGCAGATACCCCGGTCGTCCAGGCCTCGCCTGCCTGCCCGCCCGCTCATCTGAATGTACTCGCCTCCTGACAGCCACCTGCAGGATGGGGTGGGAGGCATAAGTGGGGGTAACGCAGCAAGACGGAGGCGTAATGAGCGGTAAGACGAATGCTGGGAACCTGCCTGCCCGCCCGCTCATCTGAATGTACTCGCCTCCTGACAGCCACCTGCATGTACGAGGTGGAGCGGAAAGACAGAAGGGGTTGACGGAAGGAGCAATGGGAAAGCAGAAGAAAGATAGTACATCCAACTGCAGATAGGGTGGGGGGGCACGAGGGGGAGAGGAGAGGTGGAAGGAAGGAAGGAGGGTGGGGGTTGGGGAAGAGGGAGGGAAGAAGGCAAGGGGATAGAGGACGAGACCTTCCCTTTTGAGAAAAAACGAAGACATTAGAATAAAAAACGACTACACAGACATGGCCGAATAGATAAAAAGAAAGGGAATAACAAGGTTACAATTCTCACCGGGACTTAGTGCCGTCCCACTTGCGCACGTTGATGAAGACTGTGAAGAACAAGGTTTGAACAGAATGTTATGATTGAACTATGAAAGGCTTGGGTTTACATAGTTGGGAAGAGTAGAGGAGAGGGATCCAACATTATTGGGGGTCCACCAATAAGTTGGGTTGGGAATTATTGGAGGACCTCCAATAATGTTGACCACTCTTGAGTTGGGTCAACATTATTGGAGGGGAACCAATAATGTTCCCAACCCAACCTTTGGGGTCCAATAATTTGGGCCAAAGGTTGGGTCTCAACCCCAACTTTAGGGTTAACCCTAGCTATACACCCAACCTAAGGTTGGGTGGTTATCTCTACCCGATCTTGATAGTATGAATGCAGGTTACAAGAGAAGGATATTTCTAACAAAGATGACCATCTTGGCCGGCATGTGATGTGAGTGAAGCCGATGCTGTTGAGAAAGGTTTGGGTTTGACCCGTAGCGAGCCTCGTAAGAGTATGCATAAGCCACAAGCACTCACCGGGACTTGGTGCCATCCCACTTGCGCACGTTGGTGAACACAACCGTCTTGGCCGGCATGTTGAGCCCAATGCTGAACGTCTCCGTGGCAAACAGGCACTGGCGGAGTGACGATGGGGATACGGTAGAGAATGAGTGGGAATGAGAGAGAACGCTGAATGGCACGTTGGTGAAGACGACAGTCTTGGCGGCATGCTGAGGCCGATGCTGAAGGTCTTTGTTGCGAAGAGGCATTGAAGGGGTGGTGAGGAGGTGGTGGGGTTGGGAAGAAACGGGGGATTTGATATGACGGAGAGACACACATCACATCACATCAGGAGCAGCAGAGCAGCAGAGCAGCGACGGACGGGCATGAAAAGCCCAATGCTGAAGGTCTCAGTCCCCACATACACACCTTGCGCAGCCAATGCTGAAGGTCTCAGTCCCCACATACACACCTTGAGCAGCCAATGCTGAAGGTCTCAGTCCCCACATACACACCTTGAGCAGCCAATGCTGAAGGTCTCAGTCCCCACATACACACCTTGAGCAGCCAATGCTGAAGGTCTCAGTCCCCACATACACACCTTGAGCAGCCAATGCTGAAGGTCTCAGTCCCCACATACACACCTTGAGCAGCCAATGCTGAAGGTCTCAGTCCCCACATACACACCTTGCGCAGCCAATGCTGAAGGTCTCAGTCCCCACATACACACCTTGCGCAGCCAATGCTGAAGGTCTCAGTCCCCACATACACACCTTGAGCAGCCAATGCTGAAGGTCTCAGTCCCCACATACACACCTTGAGCAGCCAATGCTGAAGGTCTCAGTCCCCACATACACACCTTGAGCAGCCAATGCTGAAGGTCTCAGTCCCCACATACACACCTTGAGCAGCCAATGCTGAAGGTCTCAGTCCCCACATACACACCTTGCGCAGCCAATGCTGAAGGTCTCAGTCCCCACATACACACCTTGCGCAGCCAATGCTGAAGGTCTCAGTCCCCACATACACACCTTGCGCAGCCAATGCTGAAGGTCTCAGTCCCCACATACACACCTTGCGCAGCCAATGCTGAAGGTCTCAGTCCCCACATACACACCTTGAGCAGCCCATGCTGAAGGTCTCAGTCCCCACATACACACCTTGCGCAGCCAATGCTGAAGGTCTCAGTCCCCACATACACACCTTGAGCAGCCAATGCTGAAGGTCTCAGTCCCCACATACACACCTTGCGCAGCCAATGCTGAAGGTCTCAGTCCCCACATACACACCTTGAGCAGCCAATGCTGAAGGTCTCAGTCCCCACATACACACCTTGAGCAGCCAATGCTGAAGGTCTCAGTCCCCACATACACACCTTGAGCAGCCAATGCTGAAGGTCTCAGTCCCCACATACACACCTTGAGCAGCCAATGCTGAAGGTCTCAGTCCCCACATACACACCTTGCGCAGCCAATGCTGAAGGTCTCAGTCCCCACATACACACCTTGCGCAGCCAATGCTGAAGGTCTCAGTCCCCACATACACACCTTGCGCAGCCAATGCTGAAGGTCTCAGTCCCCACATACACACCTTGCGCAGCCAATGCTGAAGGTCTCAGTCCCCACATACACACCTTGAGCAGCCCATGCTGAAGGTCTCAGTCCCCACATACACACCTTGCGCAGCCAATGCTGAAGGTCTCAGTCCCCACATACACACCTTGAGCAGCCAATGCTGAAGGTCTCAGTCCCCACATACACACCTTGAGCAGCCAATGCTGAAGGTCTCAGTCCCCACATACACACCTTGAGCAGCCAATGCTGAAGGTCTCAGTCCCCACATACACACCTTGAGCAGCCAATGCTGAAGGTCTCAGTCCCCACATACACACCTTGAGCAGCCCCTCTTGAAAGTGGATTTTGATCACTTCTTTCAGCTGCGGCAGCAGCCCCGAATGGCGGAGTGAAAGCCCCCCATGCCCAAGAGCCCAAGGTGGTCAACCGAGGGGAGCAATGAGCATACAGGTAGACATACAGCGCAACTCCATGCAGCTGAACACAACACAATGCTCGCGCGCACCTTGAGCAGCCCCTCTTGGAAGAGGATTTCGATGACTTCTTTCAGCAGCGGAAGCAGCCCCGAGTGGTGGATGCCGATGCCCCTCCGCAGCAGCGGCAGCATGCTGTTCACCTGATGTTATGGGGGTGTTGTGAGTTGGGATGGGGGATGGGGCCTAATGACTTGCCTGAAGACCCGCGAGTCATCACGAGTCATTAAAGGCCCTGAGTGGTGAATGCTGCTGCCCTGAGTCATCAGGAGTCATCAGGAGTCATTAAAGGCCCTGAGTGGTGAATGCTGCTGCCCCTCCGCAACAACGGCAGCATGCTGTTCACCAGGGGGGATTGGGGGGGGGGGGGGGGGGGGGGGATATTGAGGGCGGTTGAGCTGAGTAAAGGAGAAGAAAGAATGGTCAATGCCCTGAATATTCTTGTTCACCAACATTCTTGGTCAAGCCACATTGTAAGGCTTCACACAATCCTTTCCTGTTCTTCTTGTCCTCTTCTGTTCTGTCAGGCTGATTATCGCATTCCTAAAGATCCCATCAAACAGAGACTTCTCATCATCATTGTTCAAACCATCCGTGACATCTGTAGCACCAGTGCCTCACACACACTTCACCCATCCACCTGTGCCAGTTCCACAAACCTGCGGCAGCTTCTTGTCTTCCTCTGCCAGGCTGTCAATCGCATTCCTGAAAATTCCATCAATCAGCGTCTTCTCGTCATCGTCGTTCAAGTCCATGCGAGACATCTGCATCGCCACTTTTGAGAATTCTCAAAAGCGAGACATCTGCAGCGCCAGCGCCTCACAGTCCGCGCGTGCTCCGTTCACTTCACCTGAGACCCACTCTTCATGCACTCCCTCACCTGCGGCAGCTTCTTGTCTTTCTGCCAGGCTGTCAATCGCATTCCTGAAAATCCCGTCAATCAGCGTCTTCTCATCATCGTCATTCAAGTCCATGCGAGACATCTGCAGCGCCAGCGCCTCACACACACTTCAACTGATGTAGCCTTTGAATACCCACCCACCTGAGGCAGCTTCACGCACCTGATGCAGCTTCACGCACCTGAGGCAGCTTCACGCACCTGAGGCAGCTTCACGCACCTGAGGCAGCTTCACGCACCTGAGGCAGCTTCACGCACCTGAGGCAGCTTCACACACCTGAGGCAGCTTCACGCACCTGAGGCAGCTTCACGCACCTGAGGCAGCTTCACGCACCTGAGGCAGCTTCACGCACCTGAGGCAGCTTCACCCACCTGCGGCAGCTTCTTGTCCTCTTCTGCCAGGCTGTCAATGGCATTCCTGAAGATCCCATCAATCAGCGTCTTCTCATCATCGTCATTCAAATCCATCCGTGACATCTGCAGCGCCAGTGCCTCACAATCAGCCCGACTGAAGGAGAACACAATCACCGGGTCATACTGCCTCTGCATTATCATCTTCACTATCTTGTATATATCACTCTCCTCCCCTTTCTTCCCCCCTCCCCCTCCCCCGGCTCCCCCCGGGCCGCCCCCTCCTGCCCCCCGCTTCCCCTTCCCCCACTTCCCCCCTTTCTTCCCCCCGTCCTCCCCGTCCTCCCCCTTTCCTCCGCCCCCTTCTCCCCCTTCCACTACGTTCATCGCCTTCTGGAAGGAAGCTTCGCGGAACTTGCCCTTCTCGTCGACGGCTAGGAATAGGCCCATGCCCCCTGCCGGGAAGATGTAGTGCTGCAGGGGCGTGGGGCGGTAGTCTGTGTATACAATGTGGCACGGCTGCTGGTGCACCTGGTGAACACACACACGCACAGTCAAAGGCGGGGGCAAGACACACACAAGGGCATAGTCACGCACAGAGCCAGAGAGAATAAGCCCATGCCTCCTGCGCGGAGGATGTAATGCTGCAGGGGTGTGGGGCGGTAGTCCGTGTATACAATGTGGCACGGCTGCTGGTGCACCTGGTGAACAAAGGGCAAAATATGGAGGGCAGGGGCACAGGTAAACAGAGGGAAGGAGGAAGATGTGGTGCTGCAGGGGCGTGGGACGGTGGTCCGTGTATACAATATGGCAGGGTTGTTGGTGCTTCTGGGGAGATTAAAAGTAAGAAAGGCAAACACAAGGCAAGGGAGGAGAGGGAAGATGTAATGAGGAGTGTCCACAGCTAGGAATAGGCCCATGCCATGCCCCCTGCGGGGAAGATGTAGTGCTGCAGGGGCGTGGGGCGGTAGTCTGTGTATACAATGTGGCACGGCTGCTGGTGCACCTGGTGACAGTCAAGTCAAACACAAGGGTAGTGAATCGCACACACAAGGGGAAAGGAAGAGTGTTTATGGGCGCCTCCAAAGAATAGGCCCACCCCAGGAAGAGTGTTTATGCCCCCTGCGGGGAAGATGTAGTGCTGCAGGGGCGTGGGGCGGTAGTCCGTGTACACGATGTGGCACGGCTGCTGGTGCACCTGGTTAGGGGGAACGGGACAAGGGACAACACGAGGGAAAAGAGAGACAAACAGAAGGAGAGAGAATGAGAAAGATGTAGTGCTGGAGAGGCGTGGGGCGGTAGTCTGTGTGTATACAATATGGCACGGTTGCTGGTGCACCTAGGGAGGAGGGGGAAAGGGACGGAGCAGGGGCACACAGAAAGGAGGAAAGGGAGAATTCAGTGCTGCAGGGGCGTGAGGCGATAGTCGGTGTGCAAAACGTGGCATGGTTGCTGGTGCACCCGCACTGCACTGCTCCATGACCACTCTGTGCTGCTCTGCACCGCACTGCACCAGTCACTTGCAAGTCACGTGCCTTTGCCACCCACTCAACAAAGTCGCGTGCATTCACAGTAGCTGAGAGAGGAAGGCGAAGCCAGAATCATAAGAATATGACTGCTCTCTGCACCGCTCTGCACCAGTCTCGTCCTCTTATTCACGCACCTTTGCCACCCACTCAGCAAACTCGCGTGCATTGGGGACCGTAGCGGAGAGGAAGACGAAGCGGGAGGACTTGGGAGCCATGACGATACTCTCCTCCCACACCACCCCTCGCTCCTTGTCCCTCAGGTAATGCACCTCGTCGAAAATTATCCACCCCACCTCGCGCACGAAGTCAGATCCTCGATAGAGCATGCTGCGGAGAATTTCGGTCGTCATAACCTGGGTGGCACAAGGGGGCAATACAGAGCGGTGCAGAGCGGTGGAGGTGGGAAAGGAGGAGAAGAACCAAGTGCTCCTTGTCCCTCAGGTAATGCACCTCGTCGAATATGATCCACCCCACCTCCCGCACGAAATCGGATCCTTGATACAGCATGCTGCGGAGAATTTCGGTCGTCATTACCTGCAGGAGGGAGGGGGTTGGGGCAATACAGAGTGAAGCAGAACGGTGGAGGTGGGTAGAGAGGAGCAGAATGGGGTGCTAGCTCCTTGTCCGCTCAGGCAATACACCTCGTCTCACCTTGATTGGCGATGTGTACACACAACACGACACCCTGTCGTCACACTGCACCAGGCACGATGATATGACACCCAATGCAGCATTGTACCACCCACCACGTAGGTAGCGTTGGGGGCGATGGTGACATCCCCAGTCATGAGCCCCACGTCCCCAAACTCCTGATTCATCTCGCGGAACTTCTGGTTGCTCAGCGCCTTGATGGGCGATGTGTATGTACACGACTCAACCAACAACACCCTCTCACCGCACTGCACCGCACCATACCAGGCAGGTGGCGTTGGGGGCGATGGTGACATCCCCAGTCATGAGCCCCACGTCCCCAAACTCCTGATTCATCTCGCGGAACTTCTGGTTGCTCAGCGCCTTGATGGGCGATGTGTATGTACACGACTCAACCAACAACACCCTCTCACCGCACTGCACCGCACCATACCAGGCAGGTGGCGTTGGGGGCGATGGTGACATCCCCAGTCATGAGCCCCACGTCCCCAAACTCCTGACTCATCTCGCGGAACTTCTGATTGCTCAGCGCCTTGATGGGCGACGTGTACACGACGCGCTGGTTGTCCCGCATCGCCATGGCTATGGCATATTCCGCCACCACAGTCTTGCCTGCTGATGTGTGTGCTGATACCTGCGAATAATGGACACAAGGAGTGAGGGAGTGAGGGAACGGGAGAAAAAGGGTGAGGAGTGGGAAGAGGAAGTGAGAGGGAAGAAAGTGGGAGTGCTTCGGTTGCTCAGCGCCTTGATGGGCGATGTGTACACGACGCACTGGTTGTCCCGCATCGCCATGGCTATGGCGTATTCCGCCACCACAGTCTTGCCTGCTGATGTGTGTGCTGATACCTGCCGCAGTGAGTGGGGGAGAGTGAGTTGGGGGAGGGAATGAGAGTGGGAGAGGCTTGATGGGCGACGTGTACACGACGCGCTGGTTGTCCCGCATCACCATGGCTATCGCGTACTCTGCTACCACTGTCTTGCCTGCTGATGTGTGTGCTGAGACCTGAGTGTGTGAGGAAGGGAGGAGAGAAAGGGAAGGACGTGGAAGAATCTCTCTCTCTCTCTCAGAACGGGAAGGGGTTGTTGAGGAAAAGAAAGGATACAGAGGAAGGGGACGTGATATTGTGCCAAGCAGTACTTTGTTCCGCTCTAAACCCTGAATCCTCGCCTTCCTTGCTTCTCAAATGCGAATAACGGGCTCAGGGTTTTGTGTCCAGGAATCCACTCGGGGATGAGGGTTTCTAAACAACAGTTTCGGCTATATTTCCGGTCTGGGTTTTGAGCTAGGGTTTCGATCAGGGTTTAAGCATTAACATTCCAGTCGGGGTTTCTGGGTTTAGGGTCGCTGTCGCGATTTTCTCACCAGCACGGATTCGTTCGCTTCCAAGCACCGCACGGCCTCTTCCTGAAACGGGTCAAGCTTAAACGGGTACTCCTTGGCGGGCTTCTCTGGCAGCGGTTTCCGCGCAGCTTCCTTGCTGGTAGGAAGCTTCCAGCCCTTGGGGTACGCAACTTCGTGCAGGCATCGCACGCCGCCACTGCCGCTGCCGCCCGTGTTGCCGTCCTCAAACTCCTCGTTACGAAGAACTAGCCCCGTCATCTCCTCATAGCCATCACCCGTGCCGGCCTCGCCCCCCCCTGCCTTGCCGGCCGCGCCGGCAGCGGCCGGCTCAGCGCCGTCTGCGGCGTCGCCGTCGCTGCCGGCAGAACGATCGGCGAGGTCCTTGTCGATCGAGGCGCGCTGCTTCCACGTGTCGTCATCGGCGCGCAGCGAGCTCTTCGCCGCTCCGTCTGTGGCTGTAGCCGAGGGTTTCGGCTTCTTGGAAGACTTTACCGACGGCGAATCTGTTTTCACCTTTTTCTTGGAGGGTTTGGGGGACTTAGCGCGTTTCTCATCCGAACGCTTCATTCTGAACGCCTACGAGCACGGATGGGTGCCGAGAATGCTAACTATTTTAGGCTGAAAAACCGCGGAATCACGTGAGAACGAGGAGACTAGCCGGAAAACGCGGAAGCGGTGCTATTGCGAAGGCAGAGTGCACTAGCGAGTGAAAGACGGAAGGGAAATGGGACACTTGAGCTCGCACTTGGTGTTCAGTGCGTTTCAGTATGGTGAGTGAATTTCATTCATATATTTGAAGTACAAGTAAACATTATCCTTCTTTTAAAACCTGTTCATGTGCCGTGGTCAACATACTAGAATCACCTCTACTGACATCTGCACCAGATAATCTGCGTAAAGAGCACCTGTAGAAAATCGACATATCAATCCTTTCCAGAGCAGGAAAACATGTGCACTTTACATAATATAGATGCATACTACTATCGTACTGTACATATGGCAGTAGAAGAAACAAAAATGTAACCAACAAAAGTGTGACCCCCTACTATCTGCGTCTGCGCATGACAACGCCCATATGTGCTTTAAGCGAAAGCATGACAGATTCCAAAAGGGCCTCGTCCGAGGAAAGGTGCTTGTCATATATTTGTAGACACTCTTGCTGCCTGCGCTGAATGGCCGGCTGGATAGGATGGAAGAGAGAAGGGGGGGAGGGGGTGTGAGAAGTAAGAGCACGTTCAAAAGAAGTGCATAAAGATAAGATCCATGGGGATGAGGAGGCATGTGCATGCCACCATCACACTTGTCGTATATCCGTTGACACTCCTACTGCCTGTGCTGAATGGCCGGCTGGATAGGACGGAACGGAAGGGAGGCAGGAGGATGGGGAGAAGAGGGGGAGGGCACCATGGATAAGAGACTGATGGATGCATGACAGAAGAGGTTCTTATCGTATATCCATAGGCACTGCTGCCTGCGCTGTATGGCTGGCTGGATAGATGGGTGGAAGGGAGGGAGAGTAGGGGAGCATGGGGTGGAAAGGTGGGGAGAGAAAGGAGTATTTGGAGGGGAGAATGGTGAGCGCACATCACAGGAGAGGTGCTTGTCATATATCCTGCTGCCATCACAGGTGAGCGCACATCACAGGAGAGGTGCTTGTCATATATCCTGCTGCCATCACAGGTGAGCGCACATCACAGGAGAGGTGCTTGTCATATATCCTGCTGCCATCACAGGTGAGCGCACATCACAGGCACAGGCAGCATTTGGATCATGCTCATGTGCCCTTGTTGTATATCCATAGACACTCCTGCTGCCTGTGTATGGCCGGCGCGATAGAATGGACCGGGGGAGGGGAAGGGAGGGGGTGGGAAAGGGAGGAGAGGACAGGAGTAATATGGAGAGGAGATTTAAAAATGCATAACAAATGCAAGCTAGTTGTCATATATCCGTAACCACTCCTGCTGTCGGCGCTGTATGGCCGGCTGGATAGGACGGAACGGGCGGAGGGGGACGGGGAGGGGGAATAGCTCATTCCAGATATGTGAATAGATGAGAAGATCCGTAGGCATGAGAAGAGGAGAGGTGCTTATTGTATCCTGCCAAAGAGAATCCTGCTGCCGACACGGTATGGCCGGCTGGATAGGTGGGCGGAAGGCGACAATCAATAAATGGACATAGAAGGGAAGGATTTCTAGGGATTAAACGGATTTCTAGGGATTAAAAGACAAGCACTAGGATACATTACCATGGTCTATCAATACATACTTCTCTTCAACTATCGCCCATCAGCACATACCACATCCACAACTTATCAGCACACACCTCATCCATGGCTCTGAGGGTCGGCAAGATTCGGTGCATCTGGTCGGTGGGGAAGCGCAGCAGGCAGTGATGCCACGAGATGATGTCATCGAATGGTAACCGCCAGTTGTCCGCCACCACCACTGGGATGGCTCCCACTGTTAGCGCCTGGTGTGTGGTTGTGAGGTATGCAGTATCACATGACACAACACGAGTACATATGGAGGCAACTCAAACTACACCACCACAAGGATTACTCCCACCACTGTCAAGGCATATGCTCACGTTAGCACATAACACACCACAACCTCCAAAGAATCTCAAGGTAGACCCTTGTCTGCCAGCTGTTACCAGCACAGGTTCGCATCACAACACAACACACACACACCACACCACACCAAACCACACCACACCACACCACACCACACCACACCACTATCACATGACAAGACAATGCACACGATCAGCAGACAATGCACACGATCAGCAGACAATACACACGATCAGCAGACAATACACACGATCAGCAGACAATACACACGATCAGCAGACAATACACACGATCAGCAGACAATACACACGATCAGCAGACAATACACACGATCAGCAGACAATACACACGATCAGCAGACAATACACACGATCAGCAGACAATACACACGATCAGCAGACAATACACACGATCAGCAGACAATACACACGATCAGCAGACAATACACACGATCAGCAGACAATACACACGATCAGCAGACAATACACACGATCAGCAGACAATACACACGATCAGCAGACAATACACACGATCAGCAGACAATACACACACCACACCACACCACACCACTATCACATGACAAGACAATACACACGATCAGCAGACAATACACACGATCAGCAGACAATACACACGATCAGCAGACAATACACACGATCAGCAGACAATACACACGATCAGCAGACAATACACACGATCAGCAGACAATACACACGATCAGCAGACAATACACACGATCAGCAGACAATACACACGATCAGCAGACAATACACACGATCAGCAGACAATACACACGATCAGCAGACAATACACACGATCAGCAGACAATACACACGATCAGCAGACAATACACACGATCAGCAGACAATACACACGATCAGCAGACAATACACACGATCAGCAGACAATACACACGATCAGCAGACAATACACACGATCAGCAGACAATACACACGATCAGCAGACAATACACACGATCAGCAGACAATACACACGATCAGCAGACAATACACACGATCAGCAGACAATACACACGATCAGCAGACAATACACACGATCAGCAGACAATACACACGATCAGCAGACAATACACACGATCAGCAGACAATACACACGATCAGCAGACAATACACACGATCAGCAGACAATACACACGATCAGCAGACAATACACACGATCAGCAGACAATACACACGATCAGCAGACAATACACACGATCAGCAGACAATACACACGATCAGCAGACAATACACACGATCAGCAGACAATACACACGATCAGCAGACAATACACACGATCAGCAGACAATACACACGATCAGCAGACAATACACACGATCAGCAGACAATACACACGATCAGCAGACAATACACACGATCAGCAGACAATACACACGATCAGCAGACAATACACACGATCAGCAGACAATACACACGATCAGCAGACAATACACACGATCAGCAGACAATACACACGATCAGCAGACAATACACACGATCAGCAGACAATACACACGATCAGCAGACAATACACACGATCAGCAGACAATACACACGATCAGCAGACAATACACACGATCAGCAGACAATACACACGATCAGCAGACAATACACACGATCAGCAGACAATACACACGCCAGTTGTCCGCCACCACCACTGGGATGGCTCCCACTGTTAGCGCCTGGTGTGTGGTTGTGAGGTATGCAGTATCACATGACACAACACGAGTACGTATGGAGGCAACTCAAACTACACCACCGCAAGGATTACTCCCACCACTGTCAAGGCATATGCTCACGTTAGCACATAACACACCACAACCTCCAAAGAATCTCAAGGTAGACCCTTGTCTGCCAGCTGTTACCAGCACAGGTTCGCATCACAACACAACACACACACATCACGCCACACCAAACCACACCACACCACACCACACCACACCACACCACTATCACATGACAAGACAATGCACACGATCAGCAGACAATGCACACGATCAGCAGACAATACACACGATCAGCAGACAATACACACGATCAGCAGACAATACACACGATCAGCAGACAATACACACGATCAGCAGACAATACACTACACACGATCAGCAGACAATACACACGATCAGCAGACAATACACACGATCAGCAGACAATACACACGATCAGCAGACAATACACACGATCAGCAGACAATACACACGATCAGCAGACAATACACACGATCAGCAGACAATACACACGATCAGCAGACAATACACACGATCAGCAGACAATACACACGATCAGCAGACAATACACACGATCAGCAGACAGTACACACGATCAGCAGACAATACACACGATCAGCAGACAATACACACGATCAGCAGACAATACACACGATCAGCAGACAATACACACGATCAGCAGACAATACACACGATCAGCAGACAATACACACGATCAGCAGACAATACACACGATCAGCAGACAATACACACGATCAGCAGACAATACACACGATCAGCAGACAATACACACGATCAGCAGACAATACACACGATCAGCAGACAATACACACGATCAGCAGACAATACACACGATCAGCAGACAATACACACGATCAGCAGACAATACACACGATCAGCAGACAATACACACGATCAGCAGACAATACACACGATCAGCAGACAATACACACGATCAGCAGACAATACACACGATCAGCAGACAATACACACGATCAGCAGACAATACACACGATCAGCAGACAATACACACGATCAGCAGACAATACACACGATCAGCAGACAATACACACGATCAGCAGACAATACACACGATCAGCAGACAATACACACGATCAGCAGACAATACACACGATCAGCAGACAATACACACGATCAGCAGACAATACACACGATCAGCAGACAATACACACGATCAGCAGACAATACACACGATCAGCAGACAATACACACGATCAGCAGACAATACACACGATCAGCAGACAATACACACGATCAGCAGACAATACACACGATCAGCAGACAATACACACGATCAGCAGACAATACACACGATCAGCAGACAATACACACGATCAGCAGACAATACACACGATCAGCAGACAATACACACGCCAGTTGTCCGCCACCACCACTGGGATGGCTCCCACTGTTAGCGCCTGGTGTGTGGTTGTGAGGTATGCAGTATCACATGACACAACACGAGTACGTATGGAGGCAACTCAAACTACACCACCGCAAGGATTACTCCCACCACTGTCAAGGCATATGCTCACGTTAGCACATAACACACCACAACCTCCAAAGAATCTCAAGGTAGACCCTTGTCTGCCAGCTGTTACCAGCACAGGTTCGCATCACAACACAACACACACACATCACGCCACACCAAACCACACCACACCACACCACACCACACCACACCACTATCACATGACAAGACAATGCACACGATCAGCAGACAATACACGATCAGCAGACAATACACACGATCAGCAGACAATACACACGATCAGCAGACAATACACACGATCAGCAGACAATACACACGATCAGCAGACAATACACACGATCAGCAGACAATACACACGATCAGCAGACAATACACACGATCAGCAGACAATACACACGATCAGCAGACAATACACACGATCAGCAGACAATACACACGATCAGCAGACAATACACACGATCAGCAGACAATACACACGATCAGCAGACAATACACACGATCAGCAGACAATACACACGATCAGCAGACAATACACACGATCAGCAGACAATACACACGATCAGCAGACAATACACACGATCAGCAGACAATACACACGATCAGCAGACAATACACACGATCAGCAGACAATACACACGATCAGCAGACAATACACACGATCAGCAGACAATACACACGATCAGCAGACAATACACACGATCAGCAGACAATACACACGATCAGCAGACAATACACACGATCAGCAGACAATACACACGATCAGCAGACAATACACACGATCAGCAGACAATACACACGATCAGCAGACAATACACACGATCAGCAGACAATACACACGATCAGCAGACAATACACACGATCAGCAGACAATACACACGATCAGCAGACAATACACACGATCAGCAGACAATACACACGATCAGCAGACAATACACACGATCAGCAGACAATACACACGATCAGCAGACAATACACACGATCAGCAGACAATACACACGATCAGCAGACAATACACACGATCAGCAGACAATACACACGATCAGCAGACAATACACACGATCAGCAGACAATACACACGATCAGCAGACAATACACACGATCAGCAGACAATACACACGATCAGCAGACAATACACACGATCAGCAGACAATACACACGATCAGCAGACAATACACACGATCAGCAGACAATACACACGATCAGCAGACAATACACACGATCAGCAGACAATACACACGATCAGCAGACAATACACACGATCAGCAGACAATACACACGATCAGCAGACAATACACACGCCAGTTGTCCGCCACCACCACTGGGATGGCTCCCACTGTTAGCGCCTGGTGTGTGGTTGTGAGGTATGCAGTATCACATGACACAACACGAGTACGTATGGAGGCAACTCAAACTACACGACCACAAGGATTACTCCCACCACTGTCAAGGCATATGCTCACGTTAGCACATAACACACCACAACCTCCAAAGAATCTCAAGGTAGACCCTTGTCTGCCAGCTGTTACCAGCACAGGTTCGCATCACAACACAACACACACACACCACGCCACACCAAACCACACCACACCACACCACACCACACCACACCACACCACTATCACATGACAAGACAATGCACACGATCAGCAGACAATACACACGATCAGCAGACAATACACACGATCAGCAGACAATACACACCTCCAAGAATCTGTAGGTTGACGCTTGTCTGCCGGCCGGGGCAAGGGTGAATGTGGTGTTCATGACGTCAGCAGACACACATCAGGTCAATGGTCATGAGAGCACATCTCAGCACATATGATATCATTACGACATCAGCGGCAATAAGTACTCGTCTCCAGGAACCTTCAGGTGGATCCTTGTCTGCCGGCCGGAGTCGAGTTTTAAGTCGACTCAAAACACGAATCATTACACCAGGAACCTACAGGTGGATCCTTGTCTGCTGGCCGGAGCCTGGAGCGCGGGTAAAGGTGGTGTGTTCATGACGTCAGCAGCGCCCGTCGCAGCACAACACAGCACACCATTATCACGTGACAAGACCAGCAGACAACACAACACATCCCATGCCATCAATATCTATCACATGACATAGCCAGCAACAATCACGCACCTCCAGGAATCTGTAGGTGGACCCTTGTCGGCCAGCCGGAGCAAGAGTGAAGGTGGTGTTCATGACGTCAGCACACGTCAGCCCGCACACATCCCATTGCATCACTTGACTTGAAAAGCACTGTGCACGCACCTCCAGGAACCTATAGGTGGAACCTTGTCGGCCGGCCGGAGCAAGAGTGAAGGTGGTGTTCATGACGTCAGCAAAGTCGTACTGAGTGTAAAGCTTGGCATCCTCGTCGCACTCGGGTTTCAAGGAAGGTTCCTCTGCGAGAATGCGCGCGTTGGTAGATCCCCTGGTGGAGGGGAGAAATGGGGGTGGATATCAAAAAGTTGAGAGGGGTGGTAAACTTTTGTTTGTTTGTTTTTTTTTTTTTGTTTTCTCGAAACTCTTTTGCAGAGGTAAGAGGGGCGAGTTGCAGACAGTTGAGGCAGTCGTTCTTAGCACCAGTAAGCAGTTGGAAGCACCAGGAACAAGCAAGCTTGCCAGGTGGACCAAATTAGTACAGGAATCTCCAATACTGCCACACGTAGTAAGCATAAGCACATCTCTCTGCAACTACACTCACAGAACAGCCTGTGACATTGGGGTAAAAGCACATGTTACCCTCAAGTTTGAGGGGTTTACCTTTGCCTGGACTGGAACCATAATGTTGGGCAAACTCGGAACTTACCCGCATCTTGTCAGCACAACCACATCCTTGCCGTTGTGCAACGCCTTAAACTCCGGGGCACTCCGGAAATTACCCTTCAAATTCCCCAGGTAACGCGTGCCTCGGAACGTCAGGAAATATTTCCGGGCAGATCCGGCGGGCAGGTTCCGGAGCTCAATGGGCGGGTTTTTCCACATTTGGGGCAGCGGGATGGAAGTATCGAAATCTGTTCTCATGATCGTGGCCTGTGCGTTGGTGACCATAACCATTGCCGAGGAGACTCCAAAAGGGGATGGACCGCTCCAAGAGTCTGAGAAACTATATGAGGGGAAATGAGGAAAAGGAGGAAAGGGGAAAGAGAAAGGAGAGAAAGGAGGTGAGTGCAGAAAACTGAAATGTGTATTGGAAAACAACCATAACCATTGCCAAGGAGACTCGAAAAGGGGATGGAAATGAGGGAAGGAAGGGAGAGAGCAACGCAGAGGCGAAAGGAGTGGAAGTAGCACAATTACAGACCGAGATGGTGTAACGGTTTGACATCACTTTAGAAGGCACCTAGTCGGCATGGCAAGCACGCACCTTATATTAACCACATTCCTTATAACAAACAAACACCTGATAAGCACATGGTTGGCCCCATTCTCTCACCTCCCCCCAATGCTCCAAATCCGTGAACTCGTTCGGCGGCCCTCTCGCCATATGCACCAAGTCAGACCTCACCAAACTCTCTAGAAGCACACTCCTTGTAACAACCCACCTTATGAGCACACACACACCTTATGAGCACGTGGTTAGCGCCGTTCTTCCCCCAGTGCTCCAAATCCGTGAACTCGTTCGGCTGCCCTCTCGCCATATGCACAAAGAAGAAACACGCCTTGGCAGGATCGTCCGTGTGCCAGCGGGTCTCATTGAACTTCTTAAAATAGTGCTGGCCGGGCCAGTAAGAGTAGACAAGGGGCTCCTTTGAGGGGTCTGCAGGGCAGTGCGAGTAGTTGAAGCATGCGTCCATGGAGCAGAAAGGGAAGACGCCCATGGAGTGGAAGTAGCGCCCGCTGGCGTGCCAGAGACTGTGCTGCAAGGGAGAAGAGGGGGGCGGGCAGGGTAGGGCAATGGGAAGGGAAGCAAGTTAGGAAACACGCCTTGGCCGGATCGTCCGTGTGCCAGCGGCTCTCATTGAACCTCTTGAAGTAGTGCTGGCCCGGCCTGTAGGAGTAGACCAGGGGCTCGTGAGAGGATTGGTCTGCGGGGCAGCGCGAGTAGTTGAAGCATGCGTCCATGGAGCAGAGGGGGAAGACGCCCATGGAGTGGAAGTAGCGCCCGCTGGCGTACCAATGCTTACCGTACCAATGCTTACCGTACCAATGGCTACCATACCAATGATTACCTTGACAATGGTTTCAGATGGGGGGCATTTCCCCGAAGTTTCCGGCGGCTGATTCTCATCTATTTCCTCCTGCTCCCCAGGCCCTGCTGCTGCTCCTCCTGCTCCTCCCCCCCCTGACCCATCTCTTGCCTCTCTTCTTGCCCCTCCACTGGCGCCGTTGACCTGCTGTTGCCCCTGTTGACTCGGTTGACTTGCGTTGAAGTTCCCAACCACCCCCTCCTGCTGCTCCTGTTGCAACTGCCGCTGGTGCTGCTGGAAGGGGGAAGAAGGGGAGAGAGGGGGTGGGGGTGGGGGGTGCCTGAGGTGGGATGGACGGGATGGGTGGTTCCGCGTTGACCTGCTGTTGCCCCTGTTGACTCGGTTGACTTGCACTAAAGTTTACCGTTACCACTTCCTGCTGCAGCTGCCACTGGTGATGCTGGAAGGGGGGAGGGAGGGAGGGAGGGAGGGAGGGAGGGAGGGAGGGAGGGAGGGAGGGAGGGAGGGAGGGAGGGAGGGAGGGAGGGAGGGAGTGGGGAGGGGAGGGGGTGGGTGGGGGGGTGTAGGGATGGAAGGCATGAGTGGGCCTGCGTTGGCCTGCTGTTGACTCGGTTGACTTGCGCTTAGGTTGCCAACTACCCCTTCCTGCTGTTCCTGCTGCAGCTGCCGCTGGTGCTGCTGGAAGGGGGAAGAAGGGGAGGGGGCGGGGAGATTGACTTGTGCTCAGGTTGTCAATTGCTCCCTCCAGCTCCTGCTGCAGTTGTCACTGATGCTGCTGGAAAAAGGGGTGAGGGGAGGGGGCGGGGAGATTGAGGTGGAATGCAATCATGGAAGGCATGAGTGGGCCTGCGTTGACCTGCTGTTGCCCCTGTTGACTTGCGCTCAGGTTGCCACTTACTCCCTCCTGCTCCTGCTGCTGCTGTCACCAGTGCTGCTGGAAAAGGGGGCGCGGGGGGGCGTGGTGAAGGAGAGTGAGAGAGGAGGAATGGATGGAATAGAAGGAGAAGAGAGTTGGGAGAGGAGAAATGGAGGGAATAGGAGGAAAAGAGAGTGGGAGAGGAGAAATGGAGGGAATATGAGGAAAAGAGAGTGGGAGAGGAGAAATGGAGGGAATGGGAGGAAAAGAGAGTGGGAGAGGAGAAATGGAGGGAATAGGAGGAAAAGAGAGTGGGAGAGGAGAAATGGAGGGAATAGGAGGAAAAGAGAGTGGGAGAGGAGAAATGGAGGGAATAGGAGGAAAAGAGAGTGGGAGAGGAGAAATGGAGGGAATAGGAGGAAAAGAGAGTGGGAGAGGAGAAATGGAGGGAATAGGAGGAAAAGAGAGTGGGAGAGGAGAAATGGAGGGAATAGGAGGAAAAGAGAGTGGGAGAGGAGGGAAGGCCTGGTGGCAAACCCAAAAGCGATGACGGAAGCACGGCTGAAGGGGAAAGCACTGATCCCAATGGGTGGGAAAGCAGCAGGAGGAAGGGTGTGCATTGGATCAGTGCTACCTTAGTTTCGTCGATGGATCGCGACGAGACCAGGCAGAAGTTTTGTGACGTCTCAAAGCTCTAAATGGAATTCTCAGAATTCTCATCTAAATGGAACTCTCATCTCAGCAATGATTCCAGTATACGCCTACCTTGGTTTCGTCGATGGATCGCGACGAGGCCGGGCAGAAGGCGAAGAACGAGGCGGCTGCGGACGCCACGAGCAGTAGCGACACGGTGAACAGCACCACAATGCGGTTCGCGCCGAACGCGCCGCCGCTGCTGCCGCCTCGCGCGCTGATTAGCACCGCGCGACTCATGCCGCCTGGCTAATGCAGACGCGTGTCCTACAGATTCGTGTGCTACAAATTCGTCTGCTACAAATTCGTGTGCTACAAACGCGAGTGCTACAAACGCGAGTGCTACAAACGCGTGCGTTACAAATGCTACAGCAGATAGAAACTACGGAAGAGGTTGCGTTGCATTCACGTGCTAATCTCGAAGCTTTTCAGTACGCGTCCGGCCTGGAAGCGCGCATTTCATTGAATCGTAATCCAGCCGTCCAGATCAGCCCACCCCGGTCCACTTCAGCATAAATTCATCGAAAATGCGTGGCGTCCAGTCTTCGCCTGCTGCTCTCCGCAACTGACGGCCATTGCGAGGCTGAAATAGATTCGCGGGTTTTATCAATCGGCGTCACCTATCTATCGAAGACGTTTTCTCGCAATCCGCAAAAACTGTTAATGTACAGAATCTAGTCGAACAGAATCTGCGTTATCAGTGCTATCGTCCCGACGTTTTTGCCTGGGTACACCTGGGCTCCACTAATTTCAAGCCCTGGAAAATGTTTTCAGAGACACCCTAGACCAGATTCGGCCGTATCTTTCAGACACCCAGAATCAAAACGATATTGAGGACGTCTCCTCAACGGCTGTTTAAAACAATAAATACCTCAGTGGATCAGGCTTACCACCCACACTGACGGGAAAAATTTCTAGTTGTGACCTTCGTTGCGTTGCCCTCACAAGGAGTCCGAAACCTTACCTAAATCAAAATATGTTTCACTCTGTACAGCCCTTGGTCCCAGACATAATAAGGGTAGCTACCCGCGAGCGCCCAATTTAGGGCCTTGAAATTAGTGGAGCCCAGGTGTATCTACTTTCTGGCCTGGAACAACCTTCACTGGAATGCCATCGATCTGCCAAAGGTAGCCTCGCCACTCCCAAGCGAACAACCTGGCACCCTCGTAAGGGCGGATTCGCTCCTGTGAAAGGAACTACGCTTTGGATAAGATTTCTCTTACAATATTATGCCTTCAACACTAAGGTATATCGCTTTGAACGTTTCTAAAAAGGAGTTTCCTGTTTCTCAGACGAAAAATCTCTTGGGTTTAGATGCTGAAGGCCCTGCCACACCATGGACAGAAATTAAGGCGCATAGAACACAAAACCAAAGGGCATCAATTTAGACAGCAATTGACCGCCTTAAAAGCGCATTCATAGGTGTAAGGATGGGCACACCAACACAACCCAGCCTCCCGCACCTTCCTTCTCCATCACACATGAAAACATTCATGATCCCGCGATTCTAGGAAATGCATAAAAATGAGAACGAAATCCAAATGGAAACACAGTAAGGATGCAACAAAACTTTGAAAAGGGTGGTGAGAGAATACAAAATAAAAAAACAAAACAAAAAAAAACAAAAAACAAAAAGCATTGAGGAAAGTCAAACAGGGGAGGGACAGGAGGAGGGGGGGGATGAGGAGGAGGAGGAGGAGGAGGAGGAGGAGGAGGAGGAGGAGGAGGAGGAGGAGGAGGAGGAGGAGGAGGAGAGCGAGGGAGGGGGGATCAACCATGCCAAGTCAATCAGTTACCTAGCTATACCATGCTATGCCATAACACGCCATGCCAAAAACGTCGTGACATAAAACGCCATGACATAAACGCCATAAGGGGCAATGCCATAAGACGCCGTGCGTGTAGCCTACCTGCTGAAGGCTCACTGCCCGCTATTCGACCTTCCCCCTCCCTCCCACTCGATCCCTCCTCTGTCTGCTGCGCCTGCTGCTGCCCTATGTTCGCTGCTTCTGAAACCGTTCGGTCTCCCTTTTCTCCCTCCTCTATCCGCTCTTTCCCATCCTCTCCCCCTCCCGCTCGTTCCCCCTCGCCTTGTTCCCCCGCTTGCCCTTCCTCCTCTTCCTGCCCCGCCAACGCCCTGATCCTCTCCGCCAGCCCCCATCCCGCCTTCCCCGCCTCTCTCCGCATTTCCGCGCGCAACCGCCTTAACTCTCCGCGGATCTCCGCCTCCGCCCTGCGCGCAGCTTCCGCTGATCGCCGTTCTGCTTCCAGAAGATCCGCCTGCAGATGCGACTCCTTGAGGGCTTCCGCCAGCGCTCGCTGCGCTTCCCCCAGCACGCGTCTTTGCGCGGAGAGGTTGAGCGCGAGCACGCAGCACGACGCGGCGAGCACCATTCCCCCCAGCGACTCCCGCCGAGCCCACACGCGCTGGCGGAACGACATCCGCGCGTGCGGTGGTGGAGGGAATATGGCGGAAGAGTGTGGGAGGATTCAGGTGGACTTTCCGCGGCAAGGCGGGGCCCGCGGGCCGCAGGCACTGGGTGCAAGGCGGCGTCCGCAGGTTCCGAAAAACGGCGGCGTCCGCAGATTCCCCAGAAAGTCGGCTTCTTCAAGCGAAAGATAAGAGTTGGTTTGAAACGGCGGTACACTCAGGCGCGCGGAACTAATGCGCTTCGGCGGCCACAAACACCTATTCCCCTCTTAGGCGGAGCGGCACGGGCGCGGAAGGTATAGGTGGTTTGATCAGAGAGGCGGTGCAGGATTTGAGAGACGGCTGAGGGGTTGTGGGGGAGGAGATGTGAAGGGCTTTTTCAGCGTGTGTCCTCGGTTCGAGCATGCCTCGCTGTAATACTTCGCTATCGCTCGTACACTCAATATTTAATATACAACAATGAGAATGAGATGATCTATAAGGTTGCACAATTTTATTAAGTGTCTCAGAAAAAAAAACAAGCTTGTAAGCATGCATAGCAGCACCCAAAGAATGGGGTCACACAAATTATTCGTCACATGAAATCATCCTCGACGTCCTGTACACTTTTCCCTTCCATCTTTGCCGCAATATCTTTATTTGACGTCATTTTCTTCTCCACCATAATTCCCTTGTAACTCCGCAACTCCGCCTGCCGCTGCTTCAGAGCTTTCTCCTCCTGCTCTCGTCGCGCCTGTGAAATAAAAAAATCCATAGCAGGGCGGGAGGAGGGGGGAAAAGAAGTGGGGGGATGGGGTGGGGGGTGAGGGGAGAAGAAGGATCCTTCTTCGTCTTGCCAACAATGGTTGTTGGCATTGTTACTGTTGTAACCGTCATACCCTGCCGCCTAACCATGGTAAATCAGGTCTAATATCTAGACAGCATAAGTGCGCATCATGTACACAAATGTGGCAGAAGATATAACGAAACCATCAAAGATTCGCTCTCACCTGTTCTCTCAGGACTGCCTTCCTTGCTGCTCGGTCCTCTGCCTCTCTAGCTTCCTTCTCAGCTGCACGGCACGCACACAAGGCAAAAGCACCAGCGAAGCAGAAGCAATGCAAGTACGAGAAAACACAAAAAAAAGAAACTTGATTTGAGGGGAAGCATCAAGCTGGGAGGAGATGGCTGACGGTTTGAAATCAAGTGGGAAAAAAACAAACAAACAAACAAAAACAAAAACAAACAAACAAACAAAAAAAAACAAACAAAAACAAAAACAAACAAACAAACAAAGAAAAAAACATCACAGAGAAAATCCTTTGACACCCACTTCAACCAACTTGTGCAAACACTTCAAATCAGCCAACCTTGCAAGTCGGGCATGCGCCAGCCAGTTCACCAACTATGGCATGCGCCAGCCAAGGCATGGACCACCCAACACTGGGCATGGACTCAGGGAAACCCCTCTGCACTGCACCGCCTCTGCAACCCCTTCACTCCAAGCACCCACCTTGCAGATCAGGCGTATTCTCCACTTTGGTCTTTGGTCACCACCTTGAAGAATCCATCTCAACCCATGTCTCTCTACAACCTCACTTGGACCCACCTTGCAGATCAGGCGTCTTCTCCACCTTGGTCTTGTTCAGCCGGTTCACCACCTCGTTGAGTCGCTTCTCCACCCGCACGCTCCGCACCGCCTTGGGGTTGTGGAACCCAATCTGTTAACGAGTTGAGTTCATATGGGGGATCGGGTGTATAGATTGGCAATTACTAGTTTCGTAAACCACGACCACCACCACCGCCTCCTTGCGTTGAGCCGCTTCTCCACTCGCAAGCTACACACCGCCTTGGGGTTGTGGATGGAAACCAATCTGCAAGAGGAAATGTTTGTATGGGGGATGAGATGAGGTGCAGCCATTGGTTCCGTGTCACCACCACCGCCTCCTTGCGTTGAGCTGCTTCTCCACTCGCAAGCTGCGCACCGCCGCGGGGTTATGGATGGAAACCTAACTGTCCGTTTAGGGTTCGGGTTTGGGGTTAGGTTTTCAGGTTAGGGGTTTCAATTCAAGTGGGTCGGGGTTATGGGTTTGGGTTGCTTGAAAGTCCGTCCGTTTAGGGTTCGGGTTTGAGGTTCGGAAGCATCGCCAAGGCAGGAACGGGGAGCTGAACCCCCTTGTTTCGAGTCGTGTTTCGAGTCGACTCAAAACACGTCATTGCCAAGGCAGGAACGGGGAGCTGAAGTCGACTCAAAAGAGCTGAACCCTCGCGCACAACACACCACACCACCTTCTTTAGGGCTGGAAAGGCTGATTCGTTAGGAAGAATCATGTGTATATAGGGGATGGGGTGTAGCATTGGCCAGTGCACTCAATCACCACCACCTCTCATTGCCTTCCTTCTCCTCCACATCTCACCTACCCCACATCCCACCAGTCCCATACCTCATCTGCCCCACATCTCACCTGCCCCACATCTCACCTGCCCCAAGTCTCACCTGCCCCAAGTCTCACCTGCCCCAAGTCTCACCTGCCCCACGTCTCACCTGCCCCACGTCTCACCTGCCCCACGTCTCACCTGCCCCACGTCTCACCTGCCCCACGTCTCACCTGCCCCACGTCTCACCTGCCCCACGTCTCACGTGCCCTGTCCCCACACCTCACCCGCCCCACACCTCACCCGCCCCACACCTCACCCGCCCCACACCTCACCCGCCCCACACCTCACCTGTCCAACGTCCATGGAAGCTGCCTTTCGGAGGTTGGCCCAGGGAGTGTACACCACGTCGATGTTGTTCAGCTTGTTGCCTGCGGGTGCGGTGGGGGGGAGGGGAGAGGGGAAGAGGAAAGAAGAGAGAGAATACACTGGGGTTCAGACTGCGTGTATTCTTTACAGAGGTTGGCCCAGGGCGTCAAGACCACGTTGATGTTGTTCAGCTTGTTGCCTGCAGGTGTGGGGGGGGTGGGGGAGAGGGGGAGAGGGGGGGAGGGAGGGGAGGGGGAAGGGTATACTTCCATGAAGCCACGTAGAGGTCGGCCCAAGGCGTGTACACCACGTCCAAGTTTGGAGGTTGGGAGGTTGAGAGAATGGGAGGTGGCTCAAGAGCCACCTCCCAACCCAGCCCAACCACCGGGAACCGCTTTCAACCCACCCATGCATGATGAAGTCGACCTTGACCAGTTGCCCTGCCTGTCCACCCACCCACCCTTCCCAACCACTACATACACCACTTCCTCCCAGCCCCTCCCTCGGGAATCCGGCCCTCAAACCACAACCCCGCCCCCCCAACCACTTCCAACCGCTCTGAACCCACCCATGATGGAGTTGGCCTTGACCAGCTGCGCGCAGTCCTCCAGCATCTCGGGCGTGACGTCATCAATGCCCTGCCCCTTGCGCAGCCGCAGGTACACGTGTGCGGACGAGAGCTTGTCCACGTGGAACCTGCACATAAAGGAAGGGGAGGAGCGCGGACAATGAGGCTGAGTGGTGGGGAGAGGAAGGGGAAGGGGACGACAGCTTGTGTACACGTGCGCGGACGAGAGCTTGTCCACGTGGAACCTTCACAGTAGCAGAGGAGATGGGTTGTGGGTGGGGAGGGGGAGGGAGGTGGGTTGTTGGGGCGCGGGGTGGGGGTGGGGGTGGGGGTGGGGGTGGGGGAAGGGGAAGGGGAAGGGGAAGGAGAAAGAGCGGACGTAAGGGGGTCGGACCTGGGTAACCCGACAAGATATCGCTCTGTACATGTCCACGTGTGAGTCCAGTCCACTGTCCACGTGGAACCCTCAGAAGAGTTGTGCAGAGTGCATAAGCACACGCACCACCCATTCCATTCCCCCTTCCACCCCCCCTCCCCGCACACACGGACGCGCACCTTCGTCTTTCTCTCCAACCCCCAATCATCGCAAACCCTACTTGCGGATTTTTCCCGACGCCTCAAATCCAGAGGGTGCAGGTGATGTTGCTAGCCTCTGATTTTAAAGCACCTCGGCCGCTAGCGCACTTTCAAAGAATGGCAGGACTTTCCGTTACGAACAGCTCCGATACGCACCACACGTCTTCCGACAAGGCGCATTTTGCGAGTTGCTAGGCTTCCGAACTTACTCACATCCATGCGAACCCATGATCGGCTGTGATGCCGCTCAACCTTGAAACACAAACGCTTCGTTACATACGTCTTCGCTACGGACCATATCTTCCTCCCAGAAAGCCACAATTGACGAGAAAGCCTATCAAGACCCCCACAACTCTCGTAGGACTAGAACCCCGTTATACGCAGATTCGACGCACCATATGTCCTCCGGGAAGCCGTATTTAATGAGCTGCTCGTTCTCAAACTTATCGAGTCCCATGTAGATGGTGAAGTCGCCCGCTTCGGGCCGCACTTTAAAGTAAAACACCATCGCGACGAAGACAAACCGCTGACGTGGCAAATGCGGGACCAAGGCCTCTCCAAGTCCGCACAACGAAGATGCTTCTAGCGAAGCTCCTATGCACACGGGAGGAGTTCGATCGAGGGAAGAGATCGAAGGAAGTACGAAAATGATTCGTTATAACAAATACGTGTTGCTGTCGTGATATGATACAACGCTGAAGCAGAAACCAGCAGTGCGTCGACCCCTAAGCTACATACTAAGAATGCCAACCGAGAGGCACGATCGGGCGGCGAATTCAGAATGTGAGAACGCGGTGCGGCCGGAGCCAGCCTATTTCGTAGAGCCCTAGGCTAGAGATTCCTAGTGGTTGGTTGACCAGGGTTTAGGTATGGACGATATTATTCGTTACAATGTGCTGCGATAAGGGGACAGATCTGCAGAAGAAAAAAACAGTTGAACATAGCTGCTACTGCAGATTCAAGGCGTGAACGCAAAGAACTTGGCATACGAACCCTTTTGTGTTCGTGAACGTAGCGTTCGTTGCAATCTCAGAACGTGGAAACCCTAGTTTCATCGGGACAGATTTCGTGACGTGTAACTACGCCCTTACACTTTCGTGACGCGTGATAGAATCAAGGCTTCACAAGCGATCAGTCTTCGGTTCAGCACAGCATTTCATTCGAAGCACATTCCATTCTAGCATTCAGTTTCTAGAAGTTGCCTCTTGGATCTTAGGCAGCAGGTCGGCGCAAGTCCTCTTCTTATTCGATTACACCAGGGAAACGCGCACAAGGACTGCAAGCAAAGCCGTAGAAGCCAGCGAGTATACTATCGGTTGGTGGTGTTCGTTATCATCAGAAGTTCAAGCAGGCGACTTGGTAGAAATCGCCCCAATTAAGCCGTTTCTCTCTGGTGTGATCCCAGCGCTCTGTAGTTCGATCTGGTCGTCCGTTTTTCGAAAAATAAAATGGGAGCTCCCGAGGGAGATGATGGGAATGACGTGGCATATCAGCCAGCGGATGTTGCTGATGACGTGGGAGAAATAAAAGAAACGGAAGGCGGTGATTTGGCGGCGAAGGAAGATGACAAGAGTAAGAAGGACAGAGAAAGGAGGAAAAGCAGGGATAAGGATCGAGATAAGGATCGGGAGAAAGGTCGGGATAAGGGTCGGGATAAGGATCGAGGCGATAAGGAAAAGGAACGATCGGAAAGACACAAGGAGAGGAAAGTCAAGGAGAAAAGCAAGGAGAAGGAGGAGGAGAAGAAACGTGAGAAGAAGGATGAGGACAAAGGGAATGGTTTGGCGGAGGTGGGTAAGGAGGAGGGAGAGGAAGGAGAGGGAGGAGAGGAGGGAGAGTTGAAGGAGGAGGGAGAAGCAGGGGAGGCGAAAGGCAGGGGAATGGAGGACACAGATAAGACTAGGGTTAAGGAGAAGGAGAAAGAAAGGGAGAAGGAGAAAGAGAAATCGAAGGACAAGGAGAGGGACAAGAAGAGAGATAGGGAGAAAGAGGAGAAGCGGGAGAAGGACAAAAGTCGGGATAAGGAGAAGGAGAGGGGAAGGGACAAGGATAAGCATAAGGAGAAGGAGAAGGATAAAGAGAAGGCGAAGGATAAGGAGAAGGAGAAGGGGAGCAGGGACCGCGAGAAAGAGAGACACAAGGAGAAGGACCGAGGCGCAGCGAAAGATAAAGACGTGCGGAAGAAATCGCCCGAAGCGGACCGCCCCTCCCGCCGAAGGCGTTCCCGCAGCCGCTCCCGGTCCCCCCGCCTCCTCCGCTCCCGCTCGCGCTCCGCCTCTCCCGCGCGCGCCGGCGGAAGGCGCGCGGGGGAGTTCGCGGGCGCGCGCGGGCACGGGAAAGGGGGGCACGCGCGCAGGGGGAGCGAGCGGCGCTCGCGCCACCACCGATCGCGATCGCGATCGCGCAGCCGATCTAGATCTCGATCCGCTTCGCTGAGCCTCTCTCTGTCTAGATCGCGATCGCGTTCGAGATCGCCGAATCAGGAGGAGCGCGTTCGGCGGGCGAGAGAGGAGAGGGAGCGGGACGCCATGGAGAGGTCCCCCTCTCCGGGGGAGAAGGCGCGGAGGCGGCGGGAGGAGCGGGAGCGGGATAGCCTTGAGCGGAGCGGATCCGAGGGGGAGGGGGATGGGCGGAGAGGGGGGGCGTTTGGGGGCGGAAGGGAAGGGGAGGAGGTGGGAACGCGGGGGGGATGGGGGAGGGGGGGAGGGGGGTTGGAAGGCGACGCGTCTCGTGATGCTGGGGGCGGGTATTACGGTGGTAGTGGGGTGTATGGCGGGTATGGTGGGGCGTATGGTGGTGGTGGTGCAGGGGGTGCGGCAGGAGGGGATGTGGATATGGCAGCTGCTGATGCATCACTGGGTGGTTACGGTGATGCCAGTGCTGCTGATGCTGCTGCTGGTGGCGGTCCTTCTGTGCTGCCCCCTATGCCGCCTCTGCCGCCGCCTCCCCCGCCCCCCATTGACCCCGAGGCGGAAATGAGGATGATGCAGATGATGGGCATTCCCATGGACTTCAACACCACCAAGGTGAGCGCGTGAAGGGTGAGGGAATGAGTGGTTGGGTGAGGGGATGTTGGGATGGGTGACAATGGGTAGAGGCGAGATGATGGGCATTCCCATGGGCTTCAACACCACCAAGGTGAGCGCGGTGAGCGTGTGGCGGGTAAAAAGGAGACTTGACCTTCGCATCACCAAGGTGTTGATTTGGCCACAGGCATGTCACCTTGCTGCAACCCTGAGGTGGATTTGAGGATGATGCAGATGATGGGCATTCCCGTGGACTTCAACACCACCAAGGTGAGTGAGTGAAGGGTGAGGAGGAGGGAGGCGGGTGTGTTTAGCGATGAAGGAGGGGGTTTGTGGGGTGTGGAGGTGAAGGGCAGATGATGGGCATTCCCATGGACTTTCAACAGCACGAAGGTGAGGGAGGGAGGGGTGGGAGGCAACGGGGGGTATTGGGTGAGGAGGTAACTCGAAGGACGAGGGTTATTGGGTACGGAGGTATTGTGGTCACTTGAAAGGCAGATGATGCTCAGCTCATTTCCATGGACTCCAACACCACCAAGGTGAGTGAGTGGAGAGTGATGAAGGAGGGGGGTTGTGCGGTGAGGAGGTGAAGGGCAGATGATGGGCATTCCCATGGACTTCCAACAGCAATAAGTGAGGGAGGGAAGGAGAGGGGGGGTGTGGGGAGTTTGGGTGAGGAGGTATAGGTGAACGGGCACACCCCATGGAGGTGGCACACTAGGCATTCACATCCCATGGACTTTAACGGCACCGAGGTGAGTGAGTGAATGGTGATGGGGAAGTGAAAGGGGGGGGCAAGAGGGCGGGGAGGAAGTTTGTGTGAGGAGGTACAGATGTGCCTTGAAAGGCGGATGATGGGCATTCCCATGGTCTTCAACACCACCAAGGTGGTCGCGTGATGAGTGATGAACACCTCCAAGGTGGTCGCGTGATGAGTGATGAACACCTCCAAGGTGGTCGCGTGATGAGTGATGAACACCTCCAAGGTGGTCGCGTGATGAGTGATGTATCAGGGGGTTTGTGGGGTGAGGAGGTGAGGTGAGGAGGTGAGGAGGTGAGGAGGTGAAAGGCAGATGATGGGCATCCCCATGGACTTCAACACCCACCAAAGTGAGGGAGTGAGGAGGGGGGAATGTTGGGTGAGCAGGCATACAAGTGAGCGAATGAAGGGTGGAAAGGGAGGGAGGGAGGGGAGTGGGCTGTGAGGGAATGATGGGTGAGGAGGCATACAGGTGGGGCATCCCCGTTATGGAGGTGAGCGGATGGACTTCAACAGCAGCAAGGAGAGGGAGTGGCGGGTGAGGAAGGAGGGGGTATAGAGGTGACTCGCAAGGCAGAAGCTGGGCATTGCTGTGGCCTTCCATTCGAACTCCACCAAGGTGAGCGCTTGGGTGGGTGAGGAGAGGGAGGATAAGGGGTGGGGAGGAGGGGGTGGGAGTTTGGGTGAGGTGGTATAGAGGGTGACTCGAAAGGGTGACGATGGGCGAATTTATGTACTTTCAACTCCACCAAGGTCAGCGAGTAAAGGGTGGGAAATGGAGGGCTGGGTGAGAAGATGCTGGGATGGGTGAGGGGATAAGGTATGGGCATTCGGTATGGGGCGCGCCCACATGTTGTGTGGGGGGTTCTGTTTGGGTGATTATCATAATAAGCCAACATATCTTTGGACATTTCGTTGTCCTTGTCACGTGCCCTATCCTGTATCCACTACCCTGTATCTCCTATCAGGGCAAGGAGGTGAAGGGAGCCAATCAGCTGAGCGCTGTGAAGCTGTCCACTAAGAGGCAGCCACGTCAGTACATGAACAGAAGAGGTGCGCTGGGTTTCAAGGGAATACATGTGGGTGGTGGGTGATATATGATAGATGTGCCTTAACAGGCTCCCTTCTTATTGGACTGTGGTTCTGCTCGTTTTTTCACAATGTCCATTTGTGGAAGCTTCTAGTTTTGATTTGATTGGTGCATATTCTTTCCTTTCCTTCGTTTTGTGCAGGTGGTTTTAACCGTCCATTGCCAGCTGAAGTTAATCGATGATGAGGCTTTCCTCCGGCCAATTGCCTGACAAAATATGTCACAGAATCTTGTCAATTTATGGAAGTGGGGAATGATGTGCAGGGCCTACTGGCTTTCTTGAGAGTTCCGAACTCACTGGTTTCTCTGATGGCTTTGTTGCAAATATTTACGGTAGAACTAAGAAACTCACGCATACAGTTGTTATTCATCAAGAACAAGTTCTGATGGTGCTGCGATTCCGGAAAATACACAAATCCCCAAAGGCCGAGTCTCGTTGAGTGTCCACGTCACATTCGCACTTCGCATCTCGCTTCTCCACGTGTTGTTCCATCCTTTCGTCATCCATTCCCAGGCTTTCTGCCACGCGCGCTGGCTGAGTGGACACTCCGCTTTCCCCATAGCAACGTGGCGGTTCCCGCTTTTCCCCGCGCGCAGTTCCTTCCTGTCTGCGCAGTCAGGATTGTTGTGTTCAAACCACCGTACTGTGGTGCGTTGTGCCGTCTCGCAAAGTGACAAACCGAACTCTACCTTTAACATTGATGTTCGAAAGCCCATCACGGAACACAACCCCTTCAAACTCTTTCATGTGCCCTATCCACTACGTTTCAGGACCATCGTTTTGCTGACCTAATTAGTAGGCGCTGCTGCTCCCTGGTGGTGTACCTAAGCCTAGGCGCGGACCAGTTGTGTTTGTACTAGTTCCTCGTGCCCACCGATATTTACGGGCTTCGTCCAGCCATGGCTTCCGCTGCACAGCTCAGCTCAGCTGCTCTCAGGATCCCAGAGAGATCCGTCTATGGCGGCTCCTTTGCCACATTCTCGGGATTGTCGGCTGAGAAGACGTTCACCGCTCGCATGACCGTCAGTGTGCAAGGTAGAACGAACGGCTGACGAACCGGACAGCAGGCAGGCATAGTTTCAAGTACATACTTACGAAGCATTGGTCTTTAAGCATACCTTTTAAGAAACAGTAATTGGGTTTTTTTTTTTCTGCGAACGATTTTTACGGGGAGCGTCATTTCTCATCAGTTTTTTGGGCGACAGCGATTGGAGTTTTAAGCGTGGGAGCGTCATTTCTCATCTGTTCAGGTCAAACCAGCCACTCGGCTCTGCTAGTGGAAGCTAGGGAGGCGACCCGGAGAGAGAAGGTCAAGAACCGTCACATGCGGATCCGCAAGAAGGTACAAGCTCATGGGTGGCGAAATGCGCGTGATATCAGGTGTTTCATGGATAACTGCAGATGTGGATTGGTTTACAAGGGATTTGAGAACCTGGGGAGCAATGAAGGTGATTGTAGAATGGGAATAAACGATTCGAAAGTTTGCGTTTCCACTCTCACAGTCTCGACGGATCTTCGATCGCAGTCCTGTCTAGTCTTTTTGTTGCAATAAGACTGATTTTGGTTGCAAAAGCTATCTTCCTTTTTGTTTCGCGTTTTCCGACGCATGCGGTCTCTAGACTCCTCGCTCGACGTGAAGCGTTGCGTGCTGGCGTTAGAGTCCCTAGGTGGGTACCCTACGCACAGTTCTTGAGCCACCTTGAGATTCACGTGATCCAAAACAGCTTCTTAGGCGGCTCAAGGGCGCCTTAGGTTGTGCAGCTGCAATACAGGGTGGACTGTAGATGCGAGTGACTGTAGCGAAGACTGCGTTTAGTTGGTTGGCGGATACGTGGGTACCGTTGATCATCGGACATCTGAACTCGATTCAGAGCATTCCCGAGTTGCGGTGTAAGAGAGAGCAGGAAGAGGAAGCATCATGACAGGTTCTGTGCGTTGCCCTCCTCTCTATCGTCCAGCTTGTAGTATCCAGTCTTGACCACCCAGCTTGCAGCAACTAGCCTGTAGCACCCGGGGTACAGCAGCTTCGCAAACTTCCCACCTTTCTTACCTCCCGCATTGCTTCCCGCCTGCCCTCCCGCAGTTGAGTGGCACCACCGAGAGGCCACGCCTCGCAGTGTTCCGCTCCAACAACCACATCTACGCCCAGGTCCGTGCTGAGTTACGGAGCGGCGCAGGTCGGTACCGAGCGGTCCAGGTCTGTAGTGAGTCACAAAGGGTACAGGTTGATGCTGAGTAGGGGCTGAGGTGCGTGCTGAGCCTCAGAGCGGTCCAGATCGGTACTGGGTCACAGGGGAACACAGGTCGGTACCGAGTCAGAGGCGGCAGTCAGCTGCGCACTCTCGCCTCTCGTGTGTCTTCATACATTCGGTGTGTGTGCCCAGGGTGTGTGCCACCTGCCATGTATTCGATCCATCCTCTGTGCCGCACATTTCCGCAAGCAGACGCTTGTGTATTCGACGCCACGCGGCGTACTCTCGGCGCCCGTGTGTTGACGTCCCCGAGCATTCACCATAGCTGGGTCTCTGCCCTTCCTTTCATGGTATCCGCTGTCTAATCCATCCTGTGTAACGCATCCTGTGTGCCCTGCCTTCTCCACGAGCAGGTGGTTGACGACACCAAGCAGCACACTCTCGCCGCGCATGTGTTTACGCCATGTGACGCGTTTTTCTTAACATCCCCTCACGCTGTTCCATCTGTCTGCCCTGCCTTCCCCGCAAGCAGGTGGTTGACGACACCAAGCAGCACACTCTCGCCGCCGCGTCCACCCTCACACCCGCCCTCCGCGAGGAGCTGAAGCTCACGTCCGGCCCCACTGTGGTACGTGTAACCTAGTTTGAGATCACTGAATCCTTACGTATAGCTGACTATCAACCAAACTCAGTTCAACCACGCCAGCCCCACAGTGGTGAGATTCGTCCCTCACACCCCTCCGCGAGGAGCTGAAACTCACCACAGGACCCACTGGTACATGCATAACTTATCTCCAGTTTTCCGACTGAAATGATGTCCAGCCAATAAGAAACGTTTTTGTCCCACCAAAGCACGAGGCGTGCAGATGTGCGGACGGTGCATGTGAGGAAGGCTTGAGTTTGTGCTCATGTAATCCCAGGGATCTGTAATGCTGATCCTTGGAAGGCCAGTCACACTAGGGGGGTATTCTCGTTCATTGTGGTGAAGTTTGACTCAGAGTGCCACTGAGCACTGTGTGCAAAAGCTGAATGTGAGTTCTGGTCTCGATTGCCAGACAGTTCAACCTTAATCACAAAGTTTCCCCTTTTCCATGTTTTAGCACCCTGTGATCCAATCCTCATTATGTCCGTCTTTGTGTATTCAATGCAGGAGGCATCACGGCGTGTGGGGCAGGAGATTGCTAAGATCTGCTTGGAGAGGGGAATCAGCAAGGTGGCCTTTGACCGTGGGGGTTTCGTGTACCACGGCCGCATCCAGGCTCTTGCGGACGGTGCTCGTGAGGGAGGCCTTGAGTTTTAAAACCTTGCTGTGAATGAGCTTTTGATGTAATGTGAACGGCTTGCAGTTTTATGCATACAGGGAGCCAATGTCCACTTGAAAGTAACGAGTCCACTTGAAAGTAACGCGTCCAGGGTCCCAGATTGAAAATGAAAATGGAGATATGTTGTTGGTATTGCACATGTGGTGGGGCTTTGTATCATCTACACAGCAATTCGGCTTTGAGCATTCTGATAGTCGTTCTCAAACGCGTCACGTGAATGATATACGTCTCTGTCCCGAAAGTGGTGCAGCTTTAAGCGCGTACGGTTTTGAACTTGGGCGCGAACAGCCGAACCGCGTGTGACAGAGATGCCTGACAGTGGTGGTGATGGATATTGGATTTCTGGAGGAAATTCCCAACAAGCTACTTGCCCTTGCAGGGCAGATTGGAGGGAGTCATCGCGAGCCAGTTAGTTCATTCTTCACCAGCTAAGTATGTGTGTTCCTCGTTTAAAATGGGTTATATTTTATATTTACTGCTTTTCACTATGTTTTTCTTGCTGTAATTTGGATGGGACAATAGCCCTTACGTTCACCAGCAGGAACACCAGCCTAGGGAGGCCAAGCCCACCCCGTCTGCAAGATGAAGTTCTGGATTCTGTGGTCTGGACGAGTTTCTCTCAAGTCTCGCTGGACTGAATGGATTACAGCACTGACAATCCAACCTCCTCGTGCTTGTAATTCAGTCACTTGACTTCAGTTGGTAGTCTACCAGAAGTAGCTTAGGTGATAGGAGTTCTCAGACCTTCAGTGAATGTCTTTGTCAGGCCTTGACATATGGTTTTTGGCCTAGTGCGAGGAGGGTTTCAGCTTTACCTAGCTTTGGAATTTGACGTTCAGGAGAAGGCGCTGAGTACGGAACTATCTGTTGAGTAGGACGCGGATATTCCATAGTCAAGGCGCTGTACTTACCTTATACGCTATATGCGAAACTTCTAGCTTCCCGCCAGCTATTTCCTTCTCTCGAGGAAGCAAACTCTGTTTCTAGGCCCTTCAACTTCTTCTAGCAACTGACATATCCACTAAAACGTTTCTCGCCTTCTTAACCTGCAACCGGCTTCCGCTTACTTATCCTTAGCATATTACGTCTCCAACGCTTAGCCAATGGCTGAAGCGATTTCCGTCGCGATTCGTTTTAGGACTCTAAGCGACGTCGAACGATCCGATGGCACCCCGTGGTCCGTCCAAGGGAACAAGATTCAGTTGGCCGATAACAGAGGGAACGTCGCTGCGGAATACGCTTTCGGTGGGTTGCTCGTCAGTCCAACGTCTTTCAGAACATGCATGATCAGGGAGCTCTCTTGTTCTCTACCTGCCTTTCATGACCTGCACGAGCTTTTTCAGTATTTCTGTGAAGAAGTTATTCACTTTTTTTGTAGCACCTGAATTAAAGTCCTGATCGGATCCATCTGAGCTGTTACAGATCACGTGTTCGATGGAAGCGCGACGTCGGAAGACGTCTTTCAGAGCCGAGCGTGCGAAATCGCTAAAGCCGTTGTCGATGGCTTCAATGGTTAGTGACGAAACAACCTAGCAAGAGTGATGTTAGCCTGTAGCTTCAATGTCTGATTTTCTGGCCTTCAGAGTGATCAAAGTCTGTCTGACGAATCCTCACGACCTCTGATTCGACGGTTCTTTCCTGATAGCGAGTTTTGACTTCTTCTTTTTGGACTCGCCAGGGACTATTTTCGCCTACGGTCAAACGAGCAGCGGCAAGACGTTCACCATGAGAGGCGTGCCTGCGTGCGAAGGCGTCATCCCGCTCTCCGTCCGTCAGGTCTTCGACACCATCTCGCAGGTACCAACGCTCGATCTCTACTCCTAGTACTAACTTTGAAATATACGTCAAAGAGATATCTTTGTCCTGTACCACTCTCAAAACTCTCCCATCCTGTCTTTTCATCTGGCAGACAATGAACCGGGAGTTTCTCCTTCGAGTTTCGTACCTCGAGATTTACAACGAGGAGATCAACGACCTGCTGGCTCCCGACAACCGGAGGCTTCAGATTCACGAGAGCTCGGAGGTGCGAGGCGGCTTGTGAGATTGCGAGGAAGCTTGAAATTGCGAGGCGTCGAAGTGGCAATCAGCGCTAAGGCGTTTTGCATACTACAGCGAGCGTGAAGATGGCTTGTTGTCGTGAATATGCCCTGCTTATTACGAGCTTTTGCCTTGTCTGAGACGCTATCCGTTATATTGGAACGTGCTCCGCTCATATTGTATCCTGGTACGCCTCGTTCCGCCGGTGCATGCAGAGAGGTGTCTTTGTGGCTGGGCTGCACGAGGAGATCGTCATGTGCCCGGACCAAGTGCTTCAGCTGCTCAGCGTTGGCGAAAGTACGATTTTCCTTCAAACCTACCCCCATCTTTGCTTTTCTTCGTTCGGGTTGAAGAATGACTTTGAGTCGGCTCAAGGGTCTTTATGAGGAGTTCGCCATGTGTCCGGACCAAGTGCTGCCTGTGTGTGTGCCTATGCGTTTGGCTGAGCGTGTGCCCGTGCGTGTGCATGTGCGTGTGCCACGTGCAGCGAATCGGTCCATTGGAGAGACGAAGATGAACGAGAAGAGTAGCCGCTCCCACGCCATCTTCCGTATGGTACGTTGCACAATCATCCCGCCGTGACCATCAGGAACTCAATCTTGGCACCCCTGGGACACTGAATCCGTGATTTTGTTGCTCTTGTCCTGACCTGTAAAAACACCTGATGTCTTGCTCGACTGTTATCGTCACTGCGAGTTGATTCGCCCATCTTGAATTGATCTCTGAGTTCGCCCATCCGGTATGCCTGTGTTCCCTTGTGCGTGCTGCTCGTATGCAGGTGCTTGAAAGCAGGGAGATCCCAGAGGAGGGGGCTACAGAGGCTGAAAGTCCTGTTCTCGTCTCCAGTCTGGTGAGCGCCACTCGAGGGGTGGTGAGCGCCACTCGAGGGGTGGTGAGCGCCACTCGAGGGGTGGTGAGCGCCACTCGAGGGGTGGTGAGCGCCACTCGAGGGGTGGTGAGCGCCACTCGAGGGGTGGTGAGCGCCACTCGAGGGGTGGTGAGCGCCACTCGAGGGGTGGTGAGCGCCACTCGAGGGGTGGTGAGCGCCACTCGAGGGGTGGTGAGCGCCACTCGAGGGGTGGTGAGCGCCACTCGAGGGGTGGTGAGCGCCACTCGAGGGGTGGTGAGCGCCACTCGAGGGGTGGTGAGCGCCACTCGAGGGGTGGTGAGCGCCACTCGAGGGGTGGTGAGCGCCACTCGAGGGGTGGTGAGCGCCACTCGAGGGGTGGTGAGCGCCACTCGAGGGGTGGTGAGCGCCACTCGAGGGGTGGTGAGCGCCACTCGAGGGGTGGTGAGCGCCACTCAAGTCTGATGTGCTGTCACCAACGGATCTCAATGTTCGTGGGCGCATGGCTCTTAACCGAAATGGGAAAGAAACACCAAGAAAGGAAGCGAACATTTGTTCCGGCGGGAGTCACGGCCGACCGTTTACCCCGTACGGGCCCCCTTCTTTCTCTGTTTATACAAATTTCCTCTCTTACGCATTCGCCTCTCTTGTTCCCCTCCTCGCCACCCCCTCCACCTCAGAACCTGGTTGACCTTGCCGGGTCAGAAAGGGTGGCGAAGACGGGTGCGGAAGGGTCGCGGCTGAAGGAAGGCGCGCACATCAACAAGAGCCTGATGACGCTGGGGACGGTGATCAACAAGCTCAGCGAAGGCGCGGATAGGAACGGGTGAGTGGGTTTGCCTGTTATTGAGGTGCCTTGAAAGGGATTGAACGGGACGGGACCTGATGGGTCAGGGCTGAAGGAGGGCGGGCACATTAACAAGAGCCTGATGACGCTGGGGACGGTGATCAACAAGCTGAGCGAAGGCGCAGATAGGAACAGGTGAGTTGTGAGAGATACAGGGATGTTAGGCCCCATATGTGGTATCGACGCAGCAGACCACAACATGCAGAAGAAGGAAGGGAGGGCACATCAACAAGAGCCGGTTGAGGCCACGGTGGTCAACTAGCTGAGTGAAGGCGCGGATAGGAACGGGTGAGTGGAATGCGAGAGATGCCGATCCTATGTAGTTAATGACTTTTTCTACTGTTCTAGCTTTTGTTCTAACTGGTGCGTTGTATGTATTGGACCTTTTTGTGTTATCCGTTGCAGGGCGCACATCCCGTACAGAGACAGCAAGCTGACGCGCATCCTACAGCCAGCGCTGGGTGGCAACACCAAGACGGCCATCATCTGCTGCGCCACCCCCGCTCTGGTAACGCACCCGAATTTCCTTCGCCTTGCTGGCGTGTTTTGCTGAATAGCGAACCGAATGGCCTCACCACAACCGCTGCGATCGGGTTGTCGATCCACCTTCCGTCGTGACCCTTGACAAATGTGGCCTGTTTAACTGTCTTGTTGTTCCCCTTTGTCCGTTACAGAGGCATGAGGACGAGACGCATGGCACTCTCCGATTCGCCCTCAGAGCGAAGTGCATCACCAATTGCGCCAAAGTTAACGAGGTAATTCTACTCTCGACTCAACGTTACCCCATTGCTCTCCTATGCTGGAAATGTTTTGCTGAGCCCAGCAGCTGGTAACAAGCTGGTGTCATGGTTGGTGTGTCCTGTCCTTGAGCTGTGCTGCCCATCGCTCCCCCTGTTTGCTTTGTTGCTCATGTGGCTGCTCCATCACGTGCCTTGTTTGCCGTGCACCACAGATCGTCACCAACAACGTGCTCCTTAAGAGGCAGGCAAAGGAGATTGAGGACCTGCGGCGCAAGCTGGAAGCATCCCACTCGCCTGAGATGGAGCAGGAAATCATGAAGCTGCGCAACGCCATGCTCAAGGTCAGTCAGTCAATCAGTCAGTCAGTCAGTCAGTCATTCAGTCACGGTGCATGAATGTCAGGCGCTTTTGCCCCCTTGTGGGAAGCATTGGAACAAGCTGGAGGCGTCCCACTCGCCCGAGATAAAGGTGACCATTGACTGTAAATTCTGTCCCGTGTATCCTGCTCATTCTTCCTCTGTATCTTGCCCATAGAAGTGGTGTTATCACTGCAGCTGCAGGAGGAAAAGAGTCGGGACAAACACTGTTTACCCTATACTCTGCCTCTGTAACTTGCCCTTTTCTGTCCCTGTTCTTCGCATCTCGCTCAGATGGATCCGTGAAGGAGGCGATAGCGCTGCAGCTGCAGGAGGAAAAGCGTGTAGTCTGAGCACGCACTATTGAGCCCATCCGTCACTCTATCTTTCTCCTTTTCGTCGCTGCTTGCCCCTCTATCTTGGCCTTTCCTGTCTCTGATTGTCTTTGCATCTGGCTCAGATGGAGTCGGAGAAGGAGGTGATAGCGCTGCAGCTGCAGGAGGAGCGGGCGGCGCACTCACAGAAGGAGCAGCGCATCAAGGAGCAGGAGAGGAAGATTGAGAACCTCAGCACGCTCGTTATCAAAGCGGCTGCAGGGGACAGGCAGAACGACAGGCGGCCCAAAAAGGTGACAGGCGTTTGCTGGGAGCTCTTGGAGTGGGGCTTCTTGAGGGCTCCTGAGGGCCAAAATAGATGTGGGGCTGGGGCCAGGTTAGCCATGCAGGTGGGTTGGGTGGAGCGGTGGGTGAAGGGATGGTCGGGAAGGGGACAGGAGAAGGGAGAGCAGGACTGGACAGAGGGATGGTTTCTGATGTTGCAATGAGCAGCCTTGGAGAACCTGGCTGGCTGAAATGCGTTGTCAACAGTCTACACTCTTACAAGTTAGATGTTCTTGAGCTGGATTTGCTTCACCTGGGTGTTGTGGTGGGTGGGCGCCTTGCAGGGCAATCGCAGGGAGTCGTGGTGTCCCAACGCACGAGTGGAGAGCAGCCCAGCCAGAATCAAGGTGAGCAACAGCTATTTTTGTATCTGCAACTGCCTTACTCCTTGCACGTGGCATTGCTGCCATATGAGTGCATCAGATGTCCTTGAGTGTGGCATGGCTGTGCCGTCCCATCTGTTCCGCTTCTCTTTTGATGCATGCAGTGATAGGTTACTATAGTATGTCTTGCTTCTCTCCTGTGCAGTCGCTGGCACCTCTTAAACGCCTTGCTTCACTGCTCCCCACTGGCGTGGCGTGTTCCTCTGCAGGAGAACCAGCCTGGGGGAATCAAGCGCCTGGCATTCATGCGCCGTGCCATGGCCTTCAAAGAAGATGATGAGGAAGAGGAGGACGAGAAGGAAGAGAAAGATGAGAAGGATGAGAAGCCAGTTAAGGTTCAGGAGGTGAATGGGGCTGCGAGGAAGAGGAGGATCAGCAGCGTGCAGAAGCTGGCAGCTCTGTGGGAGACGAGTGGGCCCAAGGAGGTGAAGAACGAGGAGGAATCTGAAGGGTTTCAGGACGGCCAGGTGTTTCAAAACGAAGGGCGGTTTGGGTCTGGGGTCGCCCAGGATGAGAGTGCCCGTGATGGTTCAAAGAAGAGGCGGGCTGCGCCGTTCTTTGGAGCTAAGGAGGAGAACTCTTCTGAGGTGTCTTCGCCTGTTGCAAAGAAAGTGAGTTGATTATGATATGACATCCTTGTTTTCCCTTGTTTCTCTGCAACATGCAGGATTTGTGACGTTAATTTAACCCCTCATTCTCATACAATCCTTGCTCCTCCTTTCTTTCCTCCTCGTTGCCTATGCAGCCTCTGCGTGGTGTGACCATCAGCAGCACCCTGTCAGCTCAATGGAACGAAGGGCATGCGAAGCAGGTATGCGCGCCCACACACACCACCTCTTTCCCCTCGCCGCCCACCTCCCCAGCTAGCATAGAAGTTCGCTCTTAAAAAGCATCTTATCTGTAAGCACTTCAGAAATAGACCCTTCCCTGCCCTACTCTCCTTTTCCGCCCTCTTCCCCCCAGCTAGCAGAAAAGGACGCGCTTATAGCGCAGCTGCAAGCACAGGTAGCCGCCATGCAGGTCAACGCAGGCGGAGGAGGAGGAGGCACAGGAAGAAGCGCAGAAGGCGGAGTGAGTGTTGCAAACTCAGAAGTAGGAGCAGGCCCTGGTGCAGAGACGGGGAGGGAGGCGGGAGAGGGAGGGGATGAGAAGGATCAGGAGGCGTCGGGTGCAGGGTCGGGCCAGGAAAGACGGTCAAAGAGCATGGGCACCCCTGCTGTGCTGGCGCATGGGCTTCAGGCTAAGGTGGCAGCTCTTGAAATGGAGAAGGCGTGCATGCAGAGGGAGCTGGACTATGTGACACAGCAGGCCAAGGCACAGGCGAAGGAACAGGCAGAGGAGCAAGCGAGCAGTATTCAGAAGCAACAGCAGGTGGGAAACTTCAGTCGACTCACTTTCGCATGTGCTTATCCCCAATAGGCTGCAGTTTCCGGCTAACCTGTGATGTATTGTATTGTTGCTTCAAATCTTTCTTCTTTCGTCACTGCTTTCAACGTTCCTCTTTCTCATTTTTTTTTCCTGCGTGCCTGGCGTGATGAGAGCAGCTTCAGGAGGAGCTGGAGGATTGCAAACGGCAGCTAGAGGAGGCACAAGCAGCTGCCAAGGCAGACACTCCCCGCTGCGACAACTGCAGCGCACTGAAGGAAGCACTGGAATCAGCCAACTCTCAGTTATACGAAACAGAGCATCTGCTACAGGAAGCCACTGCCGAAGCAGCTCAAGCAAGATGCGGGCCAGCAGGAGCAGCAGGTCAGCTGTTGGAGAAGCAGAGGGAGCTGGAGGCAGCAGTGTGGGAGGCGTCTCAGTTGAAACGGCGAGTAGAGGAGCTAGAAGCGAATGTGATTGCAGTGGAAGGGGTGCTGCTGGAGGTGAGCGGGGAGAAGGACAGCTTGGAGGAGGAGGTGGGTCGGCTTAAATCACTGCTGACGGAAGGGAGGGCGGGGGCTGGTGGGGATGACGCGGCTGGGAAGGAATGTGATGTGAGGGGAGTGGAGGAGATGGAGAGGTTGAGGGAGGTGGTGGAGCAGAGGGAGAGGGAGCTGACGTCCCTCCATGACGCTGTGAGGAGGCTGCAGGCGGATGTTGCTCAGGCTCTTGGGGATCCTGCCCCTGCCCCTGCCCTTGACACAGTGAACCACGGTAGCAGTATGGAGCCTGGTGCAGGTGCTGGGAAGGCGGTGGTGGGGGAGATGAGAGACCTGTGCGCGGCTGTTGGGCGGGTGATCTCGTCCTTAGCTGCTGCCAGGAGTAAGTCAGAGGATTTGAGTCTGCAGCTGAAGCAGGTGCGGGAGAGGGAGACGGAGGGCGAAAGGAAGCTGGCAGAGGCTCAAGCTGCAGCAGCTGAGAGCGCCAGGAAGCTGGCTCATGCTCAGTTGGAGAGGAAGGGAGGAGAGGAGGAGGCAGCGGTGGTAAGCAGGCTGCAAGCGGAGTTGGAAGAAGCCGGGAGGGAGTTAGAAAGGGCGGTGGCAGCCCGGGATACGGTGGAGTTGAACCTGTTGACTGCCAGACGAGAGGCAGATGCAAGGGCTGCGGAGAGTGCGAGGCAGATGGGGGTGTTTGAGGAGAAGATAAGGGTGTTGGAAGGGGAGGTTGAGCGGGAGAGGGAGGAGAGGAGGACGTGGGAGGAGAGGGCGGAGGAGAGAGAGGGAGAGGTGCGGAGAGCGGCAGGGGAGAAGAGGGAGGCGGAGGAGAGGCTGGAGGGAGTGAGAAGGGAGGTGGAGGAGATGAGTGCGAGGGTGGGGGAGAAGGAGAGGGAGCTGGCTGCTGTGCAGGAGGAGCTGAAGCTGGTGCTGAAAGAGAAGGTGAGTGCTGCTGCTTCAGAAAAGGCCTCAGAATAGGAACCCTCATCCCCCCTCTCTTGGTTCTCTGTTTCCACTCAGCTCTCCCCACTTTCCCTTCTGCTGTTCTCACCCCCCGTGCTTCAATTTTCCCCGTTTCGTTTCCCATGCTACCCCTGCTTTCCCTGTGCACGCCATCCCTTCGGTACTTCCAGGACTCAGCAAGCCAGAGGGCGGACCAAGTGGCAGCAGATCTGGAAGCAGCAAGGGCCTCAGCAACCGAGGCTCAGCTGCAGCTCGAGGTGTGTGCATGCTAGTCGTTGTCATGACTGATTACTCACCCTGACCAACCCCACCCTCTCATAGCACCTTTTCCGCCCCCTTTCCCTTCCCTTTACCTTTACCCTTCTTATTCGCTTTCCTTCCCTTTCCCCTTCCCCTTTTCCGTCCCCTTCCCCTTCCCCTTCCCTTTCCCTTTCTCCACGTTGATCCCCTCCCTTTTGTGCCCCTTCTTCTGCCATCTCCCTCCAGGTATGCAAACAGCAGCACGCAGAGGAGCTGGCTGAGGCTCGCAAGGAGCTACTCGCAACCAAGAAGGAGATGAGCTCCCTCAAGGGCAAGCCAGGAGCAGCCGAGCGCGAGCGGGACCAGCTGAGAAAAGAAGCAGAGAAGCGGAAAACCAAGATGCTGGACCTAGAGGCGAAGCTGAAGGCGGTTCAGGCGGAGAAACTGAATCTGCAGGTGGATAAGGCGACCCTGGAGCGAGAGGTGAAGAGCCTGCGGAACCAGAGCAACCAGCTGGCGCGGGATCTGAGCAAGCGGGAGCAGGTGGAGGATAAGCGGCGCGAGGTGCAGGCAAAGGCTGTGCAGGCGGACAGGCAGCTGGCGGCGATGGCGTCGGAAATTGAGGAGAAATACAGGGCAATCGTGGACCTGCAGGTCGGCGGACAAAGGGGGATTTGTGTGAGCTCTGGAGAGTGTGGCATGTTATTAGGAGCGTTCTTGATTACCGGGCAGAGCAGGTGAAGTTGTGGTTGGATTGAGAAGGAAGGATCAGAGTGAGCAGGAGCAGGTGGGGAATTGGGTTGATGTTTCCCATTCACCACAACCCACTCCGCTTCCGTTTCGTCTCCTCCTGCTTCACCTCCCTGCCACCTTCATCCTCTCGTCCCCTCTGCCTCCCCTCTCCATTCCCTCTCCCGCCTTCTCCCTTCTACCTCCTATCCCTCCCCTCTCCCCCCTTGCAGGAAGCACTCGAAGGTGCAGAGGGCGAGAGGGACGAGCTGAGGCTGAGGGTGGCGGCAGCGGCGGAGGAGAGCGAGCAGCTGCAGGCAGAGGTGGATGCGGGGCAGGCGGACCTGCAGGAGGTGCTGGCGGACTTTGAGACGGCCACCACGCAGATCAAGGCCCTGCAGGAGATTCGCCAGGAGCTGGTACGTGCATATGGGGGCCGATGGTGTGCGGTCACATGCTAAGTCTGTTGATGTTACCAAACATCTCGAAATATATCTGCAGGAGTGTTGGGGGACTTTGTGAATCAAGTGAACATTTTTTTGTGCCCGCATGTCAAGGGCTGCAGAAGGTCCAGCAGGAACCAGTGTCGCGGTCAACTCTACTAACCGTCTCCTTCCTTGACTGTGCGCAGACGGAGCAGGTGGAGGAACTGGAGAGGGGCAAGGCGGAGGCAGAGGCAGCTGGGAAGGAGGCAGAGGGGAAGATTGTGGCGCTGCAGGCGAGGATTCAGCTGGCAGAGGAGGAGAAGCGACAGCTGGAGGCAGACATTGCTGCTGCAAGAAAGGAGCACTCTGAGGTGGGTGAATTGGCTCAGGCTGACTGAAGGGAATTTGAGTTTTGGGAGGTCTCAAAACTCGCTGCAGGCGAGAATTCAGAAGGCAGAATAGGAGAAGCGGCAACTGGAGGCAGACATTGCTGCTGCGAAGAAGGAGCACTCTCAGGTGGGTGAATGCGCTTGAGCTGGCTTGATGATGATGATGATGCTCCTACTGCCAATGCTGATGCTGCTTTGTCTCCCGCAACCCTGTTGGTCCCTGTTCCATGTCCCTGCTCCCTGTTACCTGATCCCCTGATACTGTCCCCTGCCTCTGTGACGGCAGCTAGCCGCACAGCACAAGGAGGCAGTGCAGGACCTGGAGAAGGAGAAGGCGAGAGTGGCCAATCTGGAGGGCGATCTCAGAGCGGAGAGAGCCAAGAGCGAGCGCCTTGGAAAGCAGGTAAGAATGGAGATGTGTTTGCAGACTTCGCTGATAAGCTCATTCAAACCAGCAAGGAGATGAAGGCAGCATGGATGTCGGTGCTGTTTCTTTCTCTTGACCTTTGATGTATATCTTTTCGCTTAGCTCCCCTTCTTCCTCTCTCTAAATTCTCAGGTGGACGAGGTGTTGGCGATGGAGAGCAAGATTGACGCAACGAATGAGAGGATTGCGGGGCTGCAGAGGCAGGTGCATAGCTTTGTTTCCCCTCCCCTACCCCCCCACTCTTCCCCCTTTCAATCTTCCCCCATTCGCAGGTGGACAAGGTGGTGGCGATGTACAGCAAGGTGAACGCGGCAAATGAGAGGATAGCAGGGCTGCAGAGGCAGGTGCATAGCATTCTTTCCCTCCCTCACCCAACCCCCCCCTCCTCTCTCGTTCCCTCATAACCCACAGGCGGACGAGGTGGTGGCGATGGAGAGCAAGCTGAACGCAGCGAATGAGAGGATAGCGGGGCTGCAGAGGCAGGTGCAGGAGCGGGAGGAGCAGGTGGAGCATCTCAAGCAAGAGAGAAAGGAGGCGGAGGAGGAGGCGCGTGCAGAGGGGGAAGGAGCTGCCCTGGCTGTGAAGAGGGAGCTGGCGTCGCTGCAGAACAAGTACAGTGCTCAAAAGGTATGCTGGACTGGACTGATGCTGATGTGAAGGCTGGTCTCAAGAGCATGCTGGCGGTGAACTAGAGTGTTTCTCTGACGTTTCCAAGTGACTTTTTAAGTCAACTCAAATGTCTCACCTATCTGACTTGTTCTTCATATCGTATATACCCGGCATTATTTCAGCATGTCCGGTCATTCTACTGTGATGTGATTCTGTCCTTCCTCTCTCCCTCGTTCTTGGTTCCACAACCCCCACAGAGTGTGTGGCGCAAGGCCTTTGCAGAGAAGAAGGAACGGGTCGAGAATCTCACGGTGAGACTCTTTGCTTTGACGTTGTGAGAAACCATGTCTGCAAACCCATTTGAGACCATCTGTGCACCTGTCCTCTGAGGTTGTTATGGGTACACTCTTGCTCACTGTTTATCCCACTGCTGCATTCATACTGTATGATGTTTCGTTTCCCTGCCTCTCTACCTACTTTTTTCTGGACCCAGGGTCGACTGCAGCAGTCCGAGCAGCAGCGGATGGAGCTGCAGCGGCTGCTGCAGTCACTGCAGGCAGAAGCAGGGAGTGAAGGCGAGGAGGAGGAGGAGGCAGGGAACAGGAGAAAGGGGAGTGGTGGTGAGTGGAGGGGGCGCAAGGAGGTGGTGGCAGTGCTGATCAGCGCGCAGGACACAAACAGGAAGCTTGTCAAGGACCTGGAGGGCGCCAGGCAGAAGGTGTGACCCTGCACTTGCTGCCAAGTCTTTCTTTTTTTGACTCTCCATGTTTTGTTTGGTGCTTTTTCTGCTGTTTGGATGGCCTGGAGAGCATACCGAGCAGCCGGTACGAGCAGAGTGCTGAAAGAAGAGTGGATGTTGTTGTGTTCAGTTCCTTCTTGGTGTTTTTGTCTCACTTCCTCTTCTCCCAACTCTACATCCTGCATTCATCATTGATTTGTTGGCAGAGGCAGAGAAACGGTGGGATGATCTTTTTGCGTGCCTCAACCTTGTTGCTTCTCCTCTCCCCCCAATCCTACACCCTGCATCCACCGTTGACCAGCTGCCAGAGGCGGAGAAGCAGCGAGATGAGCTGCTCAACAACCTTTTTTCTTCTCTTTCCCCCCCAACCTTACATCCCACATTCACAATCAACCAGCTGGCAGAGATACAGAAGCAGAGGGAGGAGCTTCAGCAACATCTCAACCTTGTCTCCTCTCCTCCCCTTTCCCCTCCCCCCCCCCCCCCCCCGCCTCTGCATTCTCCCTTAGCTTGCAGAGGCAGTAAATCAGAGGGATGAGCTGCAGCAGGTGCTGGATTCGAAAGAGGAGACGAGACGAGAGAAACAGAGGGATGAGCTAGCTATGCCATAACCTTGTTTCTTCTCTTTTCCACCCCGCATTCACATTCAACCAGCTGGCAGAGGCGGGAAATCAGAGGGATGAGCTGCAGCAGGTGCTGGATTCGAAAGAGGAGGCGTGGGAGGAGAGGGAGGAGAAGGAGAAGCAGCGGGACGAGCTATGCCATAACCTTGTTTCTTGTGTTTTCCACCCCGCATTCACATTCAACCAGCTGGCAGAGGCAGAGAAGCAGAGGGATGAGCTGCAGCAGGTGTTGGATTTGAAGGAGGAGGCGTGGGAGGAGAGGGAGGAGAAGGAGAAGCGCCTGCAGCAGCTGGAGCTGGATGTGAAACTGTATGAAGCAAACCAGAAGGACTACCTCATGCAGATTGAGTCACTGGAGAATCAGGTAAGTGGTCAGGGGTTATGTAGGTGTATGTTTATCTGTCGGTTTCCTCCATGCGATGCTTTTTCTCATTTGCATTATTTTAAATTGTGCTCAATTGAGACGGTTTTGATCAGTTGCTGTGTTTTAAGTAAGCAGGTTTTGTTTCTTGCTCATGCAGCTTCAAGCGAAGGAGAACCAGCCAAGAGGTTCTTTGACCGGACATGGCGATAAAGTCTGTCAGATGAGCATAGCTGTGGGTAAGAATGGTGTCTCGCCATCTCCCAAGAGGGCTCGCCAACCACTAACAGATCTACACTAGGAGTCTAGGAACTTTGATTAGTCACTTGATTATATATCGCAGTGAGCATCTCAAATAGTGGTTCTTGATACCATATATGTATCTACACATAATACTATATACATTATAAAGGACTTCGCCTATGCACCTTCGATGAAACCTGATTACAATTTCAATGGAACGCGTAGAAACAGAAGGCAAATATGATGAGAGTCTAATTCTACAAAAAAAAAAAAAATGCTTATATGAATCATACACCATAACAGAAGTGTACAATGCATAAACAGTTGTAACTGTGCATGAGAGATGAGAAGTCCCACCTCAGAGAATTCGATCCTCAGACATGGATCCGGGGCTTGCGTGGTTTGCCCCAAACTGCCGCGAAACTGTTACCGTATACTCCCGGACAAAACACCCCCCCATAATTGTGCACCCCCGGGTAGCTTGTGCGGGGTGGGTGTTATGGGGAGCCTCGTTTCTACTATACCCCCCTTTTTGCCTGATTCTCTATAAGACCCGGGGGGGTGTTATGGGCGGCAAAAATACTGAATTTGCTTACATTGCATACAGGGTACTTTACAGGTACCACAGAAGTAATGTGCCAGTAGTCATCGATAATGTCACCTAGATTGCAGAAACATCACCACAAGAGCACCTCACATCCACAATTTCACCTAAAAAAACTCTATACAAAGTGCCTTCTACTCAGAATCGTCTCCTGCATGCCATTCTTCACAGTCTTCCCCGTCAAAGCGGCCAGGGCGCCACCATTCGTCATCGCTGGGCTCTTCTGCCTCCCCACCTCCCTCAAGCATGCCCCCCTCCTCCTCTGCCGCCGCCGCTTCCGCATCCTCCTCAGCGGCGTCAGCCTCCTCTGCCTCCGCCTGCACCTGCTCGGCCGGCATGGGGACTTCGACGTAGAAGGGGTTGAAGACGAGCTCGTCGTCAACCAGGTCGTTGACGTCGTCAAGGACTTCCACCTCACCCTTGTCCCGCATGTGGGCAAGGATGAGGTGGTCCTCGCTGCCATCGATGGGGGTGGAGATCCCGCACGTGACGAACACCTTCTTCACGAGCTCCTGTGGGATTGCTTCCCAGGACTCATCGATCCAGCGGAGCACCAACTCCGCTGGCGGCTTCTTGAGATTGCCTGAGGGACGGGGAAGGGTAGAGAAGGACAAATGTTAATTTCCAGAGCGTAAGCCGACATTGATTCAAAGTTACACATGCGGATGTCATGGTTCAACTCACCGGACTTGGTGGTGGTGTTGATGCCCTCTTCTTCGAACCAGCCACTGTAGCGATGACGCACACCGCACTTGAACGCGCGGTTGATTGACACATCCAGAGGCTGCACTAGCGGAGTGCAGCCCCCTGGGATGACAGCCCGTGACAGCCGAAACATCCTCATGGTCTGCCCGACCGCCTCAGTCAAGTGGCCGCGGTAGGAGTCGAGCACAACCAAGGCCTCCCTGCGGCGTCCAGTTGATTCACGCAAGGGCTTCAGAAACGGCACCATCACCTGGGTGATCCAGTCCTGCACAAGTGATTCGTCCATCCACCTTTTGTCTTATGCACGGACCACCACACCTGCCAAAGAATACCGGTACGTTAGGGTCAAATTCGGTTGCGACTGTTGACAGGCTACAGTAGTGACATCTGTCAGATTTATATGACATAGTTACTGTAGGCTATAGTGGGGTAGCACATATGGGGTACAGGGTTTCTAGGGTTGTATTTGTACCCAATCTTCCATAGTCATTCTCATTCCTGTTTTACTTCTTTCACATGGTATAGAGCGGGTCCTACCTTAGGACCGTTTTTTAGGGCCCACCGAAGCGCGCCCCGAGGCGCGCCTTTTTTTTTAGCGACCCCTCGGGTCGCCTTTTCCCTCGCGGCCCCGCTGTCCCTCAGACGCGGCCCCGCCACCTCTCCTGATCGCGGCCCCGCCGCCTGTTTGACGCGGCCCCGCCGCCTCTCCTGACGCGGCCCCGCCGCCTCCCCTGACGCGGCTCCGCCGCCTCCCCTGACGCGGCCCCGCCGCCTGTTTGACGCGGCCCCGCCGCCTTCCCTGAGGCGGCCCCGCCGCCTCCCCTGACGCGGCTCCGCCGCCTCCCCTGACGCGGCACCGCCGCCTCCCCTGACGCGGCTCCGCCGCCTCCCCTGACGCGGCCCTGCCGCCTCCCCTGACTCGGCTCCGCCGCCTCCCCTGCCGGCCCGCCGCTGCACCTGCCGGCCCGCCGCTGCACCCAGCGGCCCGCCCGCCTCTGACGGCCTCGCCGCTGCACCTGCCGGCCCGCCGCCTCTGACGGCCTCGCCACTGCACCTGCCGGCCCGCCACTGCACCCTACGGCCCGCCGCCTGCACCTGCCGGCCCGCCACTGCACCTGCCGGCCCGCCACTGCACCTGCCGGCCCGCCGCCTGCACCTGCCGGCCCGCCACTGCACCTGCCGGCCCGCCACTGCACCAGACGGCCCCGCCCCTGGATCTCCTGGCCGAGCCGCCCCAGCAGCCGAACCGCCCGTGAGCCGAGCCGCCCGACGACGAGCTGCCCGGGCCCCGAGCCGCCCTGCCGCCGAGCCGCCCGGGAGCCGAGCCGCCCTGCACCCGAGCCGCCCAGCCGCCGAGCCGCCCGGGAGCCGAGCCGCCCGGGAGCCGAGCCGCCCTGCGCCCGAGCCGCCCAGCAGCCGAGCCGCCCTGCACCCGAGCCGCCAGGTCGCTGAGCCGCCTTTCTGCATACCTACTCGACCTGCCCTGCCTGGTGAGCACAGTCCCACTGACACTGCGAGCTCTTTCCCTGCTGCTTGCACTGCGTCGCTATCGTCGCCATGGCTACCCCTAGTGTCCTAGCTTTTGACGCTGAGGGTCGCGCCATTGATTTTGAGGTCTGGTTAGACGACCTGCAGCTGTTCTTACAGTGCGACAGGGCTGACGACCTTTCTCTCTTTGATCTCACCTCTGGCGCCTCTCCTGCTCCTGCTGCTGATGCTGATCCCGCTGTCCGCTCTAAGTGGGCCACCCGCGATGCTGCTGCACGTCTTGCTGTGCGTCGCCACCTCCCTACCTCTGAGCGTGCGCACTTTAGTCAGTACAAGAGTGCTCAGACCTTGTACGACGCTGTAGTTGCGCGCTACTCCTCCCCTGCCACTGCTGCACTGAGCCGTCTCATGCTTCCCTACCTCTTTCCTAACCTCTCTGCCTTTCCCACTGTCGCTGACCTCATTACGCACCTCCGCACTAGTGACACTCGCTACCGCGCCGCCCTTCCTGCTGAGTTCTGCGCTAAGAACCCCCCCCCCCATGTACATCGCTCTCTACTACGTAGTCGCGCGCCTCCCTGACTCCCTTCGCGTCGTCAGGGACCACTTTCTCGCAGTCTGTCCCACCACCCTCACCGTCGACCTCCTCGAGAAGGCCCTCCTTGCAGCGGAGAAGAGCATAGTCGCTGTAGGTGCTTCTCGTGGTGACCCTCGCACCCCCATCTTTGAGGGGTGCTCTCCTTCCCCCTTGCTGCCCTCTGTTGCCTCTGCTGCTGCTGCCGACCTGCTTGGTCTTGAGTCGGTCGGCGCGGCGTCTGCCCCTAGTGGGAGACGTCGCTCCAGCAAGGGCAAGGGGGGCAAGGGCGCGGGTGGAGCTGGAGGGGGCGGTGGCGGTGGCGGCGGTGGCGGCGGAGGGAGTGGGGGTGGCGGCGGGACTAGTGGCGGGGGTGGTGGTGGTGGTGGTGGCAGCAGCGGTGGAGACGGTGGTGGTGGTGGCAGCGGTGGTGGTGGAGGCAGCGGCGGAGGTGGAGGCGGCGGAGGTGGAGGCGGTGGAGGCGGCAGCGGAGGAGGCAGTGGTGGTGGAGGAGGTGGAGCTGGTCGGGGTGGTACCCAGCAGCGTAGCGGCGGTGGTGGTGGCCACCGCTCGCACCGGCAGCAGCAGCAGCGCTCGCGGGACATCCCTTCGCCTCAGCAGCTTCGTGAGTGGTACGCTGGGCGTCAGAGGGGTGGGGGTACTGGTCCCTGCACCTACGTTCTTCGTTCCGGCGACCGCGCGGGTGAGCAGTGTGGGGGTGCCCACGCCACCCAGCGCTGCTTTGGCCGCCTGACGGACGCCTGGCGTCAGCAGTTCCCTGGGGCTAGTGAGATCCCTCGCTGGGATGAGCTTCTCAGGGCTGGTGTAGCGATCTTTGATCTTGATTTTGATGCTATCCTTACTGCTATGTATGTTGTGGATTATAGTGAGGAGAATGAGGGTTACCGTTGTTTCCAGCCCGACCCGGGCATTGGTACTGCTGCGCTAGGTGCTTGTGAGGCTGCTGCTCTAGGTGCCAGTGCGTCTGCGCTCTCAGGTACTGGTGAGACTGCGCTCTCAGGTACTGCGTCGTCCTCGTCCTCCCTCACTTTCACACTTGACTCCGGAGCTTCTCGCTCCTTCTTTCGAGACCGCACTACCCTTACGCCGCTCGGCCGGCCGGTTGCAGTCTCCCTTGCTGACCCCTCTGGAGGTCCTGTCCTGTCTCACTTCTCCACTGTCCTCCCGTGTCCGGCTGCCCCTTCGGGCACCCTGTCGGGTCTGTACCTTCCCTCGTTCTCTACGAACTTGGTGAGTGGAGCGGACCTGCAGGATGGGGGTGTTCACCAGTTCACTCCTGCGAGGCAGCGGGTGACCCACTGCACGGAGGCACGCACAGGCCGACACCTCGCCACGTTCTCGCGTCGGCCGGGGTCGAGTCTCTACACCCTGACCGTTGAGTCTCCTCCTGTCCCTGCGTCTGGTCAGGTGGCTGCGTCGGGTCAGGTACTTGCTGCTGCGTCCCGGTCAGGTCCTGAGTCTGCCCCCTGTTCTTGTCGCCTCCTGTCTCACGAGACTCTCCTGTGGCACCACCGTCTTGGCCACCCCTCCTTGCCCCGTCTTCGGAGCATGGCTTCCCGTGTCCTTGTCTCTGGTCTTCCCCAGTCTCTCCCTCCTCTCCCCTCCGGGCCAGGACCTTCCTGTGTCCCCTGTGTCGAGGGTCGCCTCCGGGCTACTCCTCACTCCT